CTCATTTCATCTCCAGCTCGAAAAAGGGTCATTTCGTTCACTGCCTTCTCCCACCAATTCCCTCTTTCCGGTTTCATCCGCTGTTTGAAAAATAGGTGTTTACTTTACGATAACGCGAACGTCTGTTCACTTCAATTAAGATTGTTTAGAAGAGATGACTGTTTCTACTTCGACTTAGCTTTTGATTTCTATTACTATTTAATATTTTATGCAGACAATTTATGCTGAGCAGAATAACGAATTTCAGACGTGTTCAAAAGGTTGTGTATCTGAATATAATAACATTTTTTGTTATAGTAATATCCATTTTTTTTAAAATTTCACACATTTCTAAAGCAACAGAACCACGGTATCACTTATTTTGGCACACACACACAAAAAACATGTAATAATTAAGATTAATGTTACATTCTTTATTAAAAGTAATGGGTCCTCTTTAAATGCAACCATTCCATGCTTTTAGAGGATTTTACATGTGGTGGTGGTCTTAAAAAGGTGATGTTCACTACCAATGTTTGTTTATGTTCTCCAAAAAATACAGATCTCTTAGAAAGGTGACCTCTTAGAGATGTCGTAAATAGATGATTTGCTATAATTATTTTCCGATAGATAATGGAATTAATGTAATTTAATGTCAATAACTCGAGGAGGAAGCAAGTTTAAATACGGTGCAACAAAAATACAGAAGTATTTTAAATGACGAAAATATTCATATTTTGTCAATGTCAAATTTAAAAAAGAATTAATTTTGGACAAATTATGAAATCTAACTTTTAATGTCGTCTTCTGGTTTCTATATTTATATCTGGCAAAGTTTTATACTCGTTATGAAAAAATAAAAATACAAGAAGTTTGAGTCCCGTAGGACAAGATTGACCGGGAAATTTAGTTTCAAAATTTTGCAATGTTTGATGCCATTTGTAACTTGCCTTCGGGTATCGCTTAATTGAGTTAGAATAATTCGAGGAAATAAGTTTAAATGAAGTGCAGAAAAAATAAGCATAATTTAAATAGTCGTAGAAGGAAGTCATGCGGAATCCATATCAAATTTTCACTTTTTCATAATGACCATAAAACTTTCCCAAATACAAATACAGAAACTGGGAGACCGCATTAAAGATTAGCTTTCGTTATTTGTCCGTTATTCGTTATTTCGTTTGCTGCTTCCCCCATTCCCTTCATCAGAACCGCTAATGACGAAAGGGTGAAATTTCCCGATTCATCCCCTCTCCAAAAACTCCTTGTTGAGACTGTTATTTGTTGAGACAAGGAATGCTATATTATAAATGTCAACTTGCTTTTTACACTTAACAATAAAATCGATAAAAACATTCGCAAATGTATAGGTTAAGTACGAATAAGAACTTAAAGAAAATTTAGAAATCTATAAAAGGTAAGGAAAGTTTTATGTTACTTTATTAGAGATAATAGTGAAGCACTAAATATTTCAATCAGTGTTATTTCATAATGCTATGAGTATACCTTTATTCATTTAAGAAATGGCCCACCAGCGGTCGAGCGGTAAAATCGCTGAACACTGGTAGTTCCGACCTGAGTTCGATCTCAGGCAAACGGGTTGGCTTCATAAGCGTTTCGTGGTTTTTTCCCCGTACCAGCTTACAAGCCAGCTTACCACGTACCATACGAGCCAGCTTTCCTAAGAAAGTGCGCTACGAAGGCATTTTCCTTTAAGGCACATAGCCCCAGTGTTTTTTGTCATAATCAACTAAACCAAATCATTTAAGAAAATATATCAGTTGATCACTGCTCAGTGTACATCTGCTGTTTGCTTATAAAAAACACTTTGTAAAGACGTTTCCACTATTTTGCTAATAATTCTGGAAGGCTCATAGAAATCCGAAATTATGTTACACTAGCATCCGAACAGAGACACTAGCTAAGAGAACTTAAGTCTGCTTAATGCAACAAAAATCTGCCTTGAACTTGCTTTCGTGTCTTTGGGAAACGTTAAGTATATGCAGAAATAAATATTAAAATCTATCACGTATATTTGTAAGGATGTAAAGCATACTGTTTTGGTTCACGATAATGATAAATATGCATCATGTTACGACAGTTTTTAAAAGATCACAAATAACTATACATATGCTAGACTTCTAACAACATTTCTGTTACAATATGAATATGCATTTATTATTATATGAGTCGTAAAACGGCTCACCAGCGGCCGAGCGGTAAAGTCGCTGAACACTGGTAGTTCGGTCCGAGGTTCGAATCCCGCGAACGGTCCGGCTACATGGGTGTTTTCGTGGTTTTCCCCATGTGTAACGTGTATACGAGCCAGTTTCCCTTAGAAAGTCCTCGACGAAGGCATCTCCCCTTAGGCAGATAGCCATAGTGTGCCTTGCCATAATTAAATACACCCATACACACATGAGTCGTAAAATTCAGTGTTCGTCATTTTTAGATTCTAGGTATATGACAAAATTTTTTTTTTTTTAATTTTCGTTTTGTTTTTAAAAATTAATTCACTTTATAGCTTTTCTTCAATTTATTATAAAGGAATAGGAGTTTAAATTTTGATTTATATATAATATGATATAAATTCATCATTTATTAATAATATTTTATGTATAGCAAAAAAATTATCGTTAATGTTCCAAATTTTAATTTTTTTTAATGATTTGTCTTACATTTGTTGTATATTTGTTGAATGCATAGCTAAATATTTCAATTATACACAATAAAGGTTATGCAGAAAACAATTCAGCTGGCATGATAGCTAATTTCGAAAGAAAAATTAGAGTCTTATTGCTCTTAACTCTTAGTACTGTAAGGATCCTAAGTTTTACTAACGTTTATTTTATTTTAAATCTTTACTATCACTTCTTATTTTCTACTTCCGGCCAGAATTAAAAGCTTTAACTTATTTATGCAAATTTGTCTTGCTAACGCCAAGTACTTAAGTTGTGGCTTTCTGCCAAGCAAGACAGAGGAAGGAGTTATTAGAAGCAGGCCGCTTGCCATAGTAGTTTTACTTGGTTGCTGGTTGCCTTCAAGACCAGAAGTTTAATCCTCTTGATAATTTTAAACGTATCATAGTTTTAGCAGCTCTCTGTACTACATACGGATTTTGTTAAATAACGGCCAATCTTAAAGTTAGGCACTTGTATATTAATCCAAAGTTAGAGTTTTAGTTAGTATTTTTATATTCTTACGTTCAGACCACAAGTGGTTGGTCTCTGTATTCCGAAGTTCCGGAAATCACTGTAAAGATAGAAAAATAAAGGGTTTTGTATACCCTTCCTGTGTGTATGTCTACTTCACAATTTATTGAACATAGCTTGAGTAAGCTCCCCTGTTCCGAGTCAGGACAGTTCCTGTTTCCAAAGCAAGTAAAGAGGAACACAAGTCCTGATAGTACAAGCAGCCATTTTTAAATTGACGTTAAAATAAATTTATTCTATGGTCTATTAGAAAATAACTATAACTGAATCATTTATTGACGACTTCTAAGAGGTCGCTTTCTGAAAGAGACCTGTATTTTTTTGAGAACATAAACATACGTTGATACTTGAACATCACTTTTTTAAGATGCTAGAGCAAATGCACAGAGCTCCAAAATCTCTCTAAAAGAAGACGGTCACGTTTAAAAAGGCTGACTACTTTTAATAAAGCTTGTATATTAATGTTCATTATACATTTGCTCACATTTTTACTTTCTTTCAAAACAGCGATACTGTGGTTCAATTGCTTTAGAACTATGTGTGAAACTAATTAAATGGGCCCTATGTTATAAAAATCCTAATTATATTCAGATACACACCTTTTGAACATGTTTGAAATCATACTAATCAGAATACTTTGTCTACAGAAAACATTGAATCAATATTAGAAATCAAAAGCTAAGTGAGATTAAAGTAGGAAGAGTCATATCGTCTAACCCATTTTAATTGAAGTAAACAGGTGCTTACTTTATCGTAAAGTGAACCCCCGTTTTCAAACAGCGAATGAAAAGAAAAAAAGAGCCCACCAGAGCTCGAGCGGTAAAGTTCACTAATAGTTCGGTCCGGGGTTCAATTCCCGGTTAACGGCTAGTTGCACGGGCGTTTTCGTTGTTATTCCCGTGTGTAACTTGCATATGAGTCAGTTCCCTTTAAAAAATCCTCCACGAAGGCCTCCCTCCCCGTAGGCAATATATATATATATATCTAAATGTGTGTGTACTTTACATTTAATTATAAGGACATATATATATGTACTTTACATTTAATTTTAATTTATTTCATATATATATACATATTTACGTTTGGTAGTATTACCGATTGCAATAAAAAGGGAGGTGCACATCTAGATGTTATAACGGAACCATATACAAAATTTCAACGTTCTATAACTAATCGTTTTTGAGTTATGCAAAATGCATACGTACATACTTACACATAACGAAAAAAATCCCTTTCAAGTATCAACTTCATAATCATTAGTCATATATGATTATGTCTCTTCAGCTTAGATAAGTAAATGGTAAATGATTACATTTAACAATAAGTTTTTTTGAAAAAAAAAAAAAAAAAAAAAGAGTCCTTCATTGTGTTTGTGCGTACAGACGTCACCCGAAAAAAAATGTTCACGTGGATTCCGTAATCGTAAAAAATAGATATTTCCGTTGAAATATGATACCCAAATGTTTTCTCGATTACAATAATTACTACCATTTTTACTTTGATACAAGGAAGTAAAGAAAACCTATATTAACCTACATATTCTTATATAAACAATACCTAAGTGCAGTATGTAAATATTTCAAATCAATAAAATCTCATATGGCACGCTAAAAAAAAAAAAAAAAAAAAAAAAAAATAATCATCTAAATTTTCAAATTACAAACATAAATAGCAATAGTAAAAAGCAAATACAAAATAACGCTTCACGTTATCAAAATTGCTCATTTTCTTAAATATCAACAACTAAATAGTATTTCAACTAAAACACATAATGTAAACAAGAGTTTGCCCGATGCCCAAAAAAATTCAAAATTATCTATGAAAAATGTGACGCAACCGCATCATTTGTATTCGCATAGAAACCGCATCGTATAGCAACCGCATCATTCGTACCCGAACAAACCGCATCGTACGACAGATGCGAGTAACGAAATGAATTTGTGAGTACTGAATCGGTACTTCGAGTCAAACGATGTACCCGTTTAACGGGTTCCCCGTTCAATAACGAATACATGCGGTTTGCTCCAGCTCTATTGTTTATTTATACTTTTGAATTAAGCGCTAAGTTTAATTTGCTGAATTCATGATCGTAAAGTCCGCATTAAAATCCCTTTTTTTTTTCCTGATTAAATATTCAATATAGCTTGCATCTATGTTCTTACTTTTGAGTATGCGGTATATTTAAATAAAGAAGTGTAGGATTATGAGTATGTTATTTTGTATTCTGTAATAAAGTGTTATTGATGTATATGTTCTGATATGCTCGGGCAGCGTTATGCTAATGCGAATTTTATATTAGAAAGATCAATAACAGTTAATGAGAATTTCTTGGCTGTGTTTTGTAGCTGGTATAAGTACTCAGGAAGGAATAATTCCCAACTTCTTCCTGTATATCACGATCCTCGAATGGCTCAGCTGAGTGGCTCTTTGGTTATTCGCCAAGTCAGTTTGGAAGATGGTGGTAAATATGTTTGTCTTATTAGTAACAGTGCTGGAGAAGAAAGAACAGAATTGCTTCTTATTGTTACAGGTAATTTTTAGTTCTTTTAATGGAACATTTTCGAAATCATATTTGTCTCAGTAATAAGAAAGTTACTGTTCTGTAATACTGAAGAAAAATAAAGTGTACTTGCGAAAACACTAATGCATCAACACTGCCCTTTTAGTCCCTTAAAAATTTCTCCAAAACTGGCTAACTTTTTACGTAGTATGATATGTGATTCAAGTTCAAACTTTTGTAAAAATATCAACATTTTTAAAAATTTTTAAATTAATATAATTTTATTTTATATAATTAATGTAAAAGGTTTTAAATTTTATGCCTTATAATAAAATGCTTTGTAGTACATAGAATTATCATCTTTCTTTCCATCTTTATATACATGTTTTGAATTTATACCCTGATATTCATTCTGACGGTAGGTTGTAAGCAAGATATATGACAAAGAATAACTGGTAATGTGAGGTGCACATATGTGAGAAGTAGGAGTTTGTAATTAGCTTGTAACATGTTTTAATAATTTAAAATTAGAAGATCTTTCTGATATGAAGCTATGGTATTCAATATTTGTTATAGATTAATTAGGTTTTTTTTTGGTGGAAAACCATGAAAATCAAAGCAAAATTCCAAGTACATTAAAAATTATTAATGTAATTCTGTGTTTTATTTTCATTAGAAATATAAATTACTTTACTGTCACTGCATTATACAACTTGATGCAAATGGTATTAGAAATTGTTCTGCTGCTATTCTGTCCTTGTCATATCTAAATTAATCACACTAACTTAAAATACAGGAATCAAGTAAGTTTTTTTTTTTTTTTTTTTTACTTTGTAAGATGTATTGGATAAGGATCCGCACAGCGTGATGGTTTGCAGGAAAGGTGCTATAAGAACTGAAATTTGATGCTTTACAGTGCAAATGATTTATATACTTATTAAATATTTATAATTCTGTGAGATTAATTTTCTAGTAGAAAAAATGTTAAAAGAATTAGTAAAAAGAATGTCGTGTAAAATTGTATATCCGTGTGAAGTCGTATAAGTGTTTAAATCTGAAAGGAATTAAAACTAATCACAGTTTGTTGTCAGCTGCCTTTTAAAGATTTTTAAGAATTTAAGGTAAAACATTTTTAACAGAAATATTATTTATATAAAGAATTAGGATGATATATTTCAAATAGAAAGAATCGATGCAAAACAGTCATTGGTTTGTTCATTAGCACCAACTAGCACAGCTCTACCACAACTATCACTACTGAATAACTTCAGAGTTATTATTTCAGAACTTGGGTAGGTTGATCTTTGGATTATGGTAACTTGGCGAAAATTTGGGCGACCAACTCTGCTACAGCAACCCTCTATTTTTTTTTTTCACCGCCATTTTGTCTTCACGAAGTAAAGACATGTTTCTTTTCTTTCTATTTACTGAACACTTTTTCCAATAATCTACTAGCCGAATTACACTTATGCTAGAAATTTTATGTAACAAAACTGCTTAATCATGACAAATATTAACTGCAAAATTGGGGAAAAAGTGCACAATCGCAAACTCCTTGCGCGTTTTTTCAGAATAGCACATACACATAAACCATTTACACGTTGACTTATTTTTTACTTAAAAAAAAAAAAAAAAACATCCCAGAATTGCACAAAAATGGCATTGCACACACTCTTAACTTTATCCATCTACACTGCTTTTTTCTCATAAATTACAAAAATTTGCACGAAAATGCAAAAAAATTCTGTGAATCTTTAAACTCGGTAAAAAGCACATATATGAAATTACCTGATCGTGAAAAAGTATATACCCTTTCCAAGGATGAACGTTTCCATGTATAAAATAAATAAAATATCCAAAATCTTTTACCTCTAAATTATCTATTATATTATAAACGTCACCAATGAATTCATACTGCAAACATTACAAATGGTTACAAATACTTAGTGTCAAATATTTAAATTACTTCCATGCACGTTTACTTCAACTGAAATGTATACCAAATTCCTACAAACATAAAATTCACAAAATAACTATCATTTAATTAAAATATCACTAAACCATGTACACGTTGACTTATTTTTACTTAAAAAAAATATCCCAGAATTGCACAAAAATAGCATTGCGCACACTCTTCACTATATCCATGTACACTGCTTTTTTCTCATAAATTAGAAAAATTTCACGAAAATGCATGAAAATACTCAACGTATTCTACTCAAACGTATTCCAAAATACTACAAACATATAACTCACAAAATCACGATCATTAAATTAAAATAAATTAAATTAAAAAACACTACTTAAAATATAAATAAGCACATACATTAAATAAATAAAAATTAGATTACAATCCTAATTACTTTAAACTAAATCTGCTAATAACAATTTTCCAATAATATCATATTAATTTATTTACTCCTTACATTAGAACAATGCATAAAATAATATCCTCAAATGATTAAAAATACTAACTTACCTATCTTCAGAATCTTCATTACGTGGCACGCACACTTCCGCTATTTCACACAACACACAATGAAGCTTAATACTGCAGCTATAGTACTGCAGATGTTTTTCCAAATTTATCCCCTTTTCCGATTAAAGAACTGTAATTTATTTGTCCATTAATGTCACATGACATATCTCATGATCTCTCATTTCTTTCACACAAAATAATGCGTAATCGGAACTCGGTACTTCTCACATTATTACCAAAGTCCTAGGTAGTAACCTTTATCTCCTCCAGAATGTCGCCAAACTACCAGTTACCATATTCCAAAGATCAGCCCTTGAGTATTATTGTTCACAGTTGTTTAACTCAGAAAACAAGTGTAAATGTTTTGTCTACATTTTTGGTACTGTTCTGTTATCAGGACCAGATTCAGAAATGTATGTATGCATGTCTATATGTAAGAAAGTACATGTATATATGTAAGAAAAGAATCCTCCATTATCATAAAATGAGCAATTCTAATGGAATTGATGACAAACAAATCAAGGAATTGCCTTATTACTTTAAAAATTATAATAAGAGAGATGATGTCCTGCATAAGGACTAGATCTTAGAAGTTTAGGCACTGAGGACTAAGATGTTTTTGTATAATTTTCTATGAGTGCACATCTGTCTAATTCTCACAAATAAAATCCAAACTTTACAGCATTCAGATAAGAAAAAGTTACACCAAGCAGAAAAAAAAAAAAAAAAAAAAAAAAAAAAAAAAAAAAAAAAAAATGCAAAAATTGTATTTTCATTTTGATAGGAAATCACCTTTAAAATATTCTTTCAACTGACAAGTGATCTAACTAAATTTAGGGGGGGGAACCATCTTCCTCCCTCCAATTTAAATTTTCTAGTCACATAGATCTTATGCCTTGTTTTTCTCTTAATACTCATTTTAGACATCATAATTAAGAATAAAACTGTTAAGCTTTACATGAAATGCTTGCTAATCATTGAAAATTATGCCAAAACAGAAATATTTTCTCTGATTTATGTAACTGTTTATAATTTAAAAGTTATAATTTTTTAGTGTATCAGAATTTTTCAAAATTGCTATATTTTTTCACATAATTCAATGACATGGTGAAGGTGCATGGGAATCCTTGCCCTCCCTGGCTATGAACCTGTGCATAAAACTTTGGCAATGTGTAAAAACTACATATAGATTGTGTGATTGATTATATTGATGATCAATCAATATGACCACTTTAATAAGGAAATACAGTATTTGTCTTTTGAAGCATCCTTAGTGAGAATGCTGAATTGGTGCAGTTCTCCATTTTCGAGAAACAAACATTTGCCTATTTGTGCATGTGCGAGAAACAAATAGTAAACAATCTAACTATTTTTGATAATTGCACTGCATCAGTATAGTGGTTTTCATTGTACAATACTAATTATGTTTATTATTTTCAAACAAAATCAGAATTTTAAAATATTTAATTTTTTTGTACATATTTGCTTTAGCAATGTGTTAAAATACTAACATACATACTGGAAACTTCAATTTTTACAAACTTTTTCTGGTGGCCACAGTTTAACAAGTGCTTCTAACACATTATAACAGCTGACATGGGCCCTGAACACAAACTCAATCAGATAGAGCTTCAGGTGATGGGAAAGTTATACCTTTGTGCTTTTTGTCGTACCATTTAGCTGATCCCCTCAAGCATTCTATTTTCTGAGCATGAAATGCTGCTGGCATTGCAAGACCAAGTGTTTTTTTTCCCCAATATAGTGTAACTGCATATTATGCCCATTTTCACAAATTCTGTCTTTATGAAAAATATATTTTTCGTGTAAAAATAAGCTTTCTTTTCAGTTAACACTAGATTGAAAATAGTAAGCATGATAAATATTTGCAATGAAAATTCCCTGTAATTTAAAAGCAGAAATGGGAACTAGAGCTTTCATGAAAAACAGTTGTATTTAGAAATCGAAGGTAGAAGAAATACATATGTGCATATCAATAACTATTAAAAAGCTGCTATATATTAAAAGCGATAATTTTTACAAGCTGAAGAAATATGAGCTATGAACATGCACACAAAATCTTAATTAGTATCTTTTAAAGGAATACAAGAAGAAAGGCTTATGCACTGATCAGCAACCATAAATGTTTGTTTCTCGCTAGTGTAGAAAAGGGGCAAATCAATATTCTTGCCGAGGTGGCTGCAGAAGACAGGTATCGGAAAACCCTTGTAGGCTTTCGATACATGTTTCTGAAATATTTGTATAAGGGAAAAAAATATTTAAAATTCAAAGAAATGAAAGTTTAGTTGTCCTTATATACTTTATGACATCTGAATTGAACATGGTTATTTAATTTAGGCAAAGCACACAAATGTCTGACCTCAAATGAAATTTTGATCAATGATCCCCTGGTGAATGGATCTAAGGCCCCTCTTAGCATGTAAGCTGAAAATGTTTCACAGTTAATGAAGTGGTTAAAGCTTTTAGAATGTTGTTTTTGAAACATATTTATTTCACATATTCATTACTATCCCTTATAGAAATCAAGTGAAGAAAAGTAATAAAAACATATCATTCATCTGTCATTAATTTTTTGACAACTGAAGCTAATAAATAATATTACTATTGAATTAAAATATCAGGTATCAAATTTATAATATGTAGTGCCTTAACATTTCTGGGAATGCAAAATCAGGAGAATATTTTGAAAGTGACAGAGTTTATTTTTTAATTTTAAGAATTAATTAGCATTTAGGAACTGTTTTACTTTTTCAGTATTTTATCATTAGTCATCAGGACTTTTGTTAAAAAAACACCTTTCAGTTGTAGCTTGTGGTGGAAAGCATGTGAGGATATGTATAGTTCATTTTGAAAAGGTAAAACTTTAATAAATACAGAACAAGAAAAATAAAATTTTACTTATATATTTATTTTGCAAGTTATTACCATTATTTTGTGAATTATGGAAATGTGCCAATATCAGCACAGGGTATGAGGCTTTTCTATTTTCTCTTATAAAAGCTGCATATTTAGAGAGTTTATGGTACTATAAAAAAATCATTGTTATTTATAGATAGATCAGTATGTATCTATATCTGCATGTAAGTTTACTTGCAATTTAGTACTGGTATTCAGATTTATTAAAATTTTTAAAATGTGCATTTTTGCTTAACATATTTATCTTTTTTAGTATTCTTCAAAGTTAATGTTTTAGATACACATAGGATATTTGTGAACTGTGTGCTGAGTTAATTGCTTGGTTAATTTTTTTTAAGTATCAGCTGTTCATTCAATACTATTCTGATTTTTTGGGGGAGTGTAATAAATTCTGTTATTTGTCATTTAATTTTATGGGTAATATTCATAAATATTCAGATCTATTTATTTAAAATTTTTTACAGCTCATCTTACTGCCCATATCCAACCCCAACAACAAACAATTGATGTTGGGAGGCCAGCCAAATTCAATTGCTCATTTGCTGGACATCCAGTAAATGGCATTTCTTGGATAAAAGATGGCAGTCCTCTGTTTGAAGATGGTGTACGAATCAAGCTTTTTTCTAGAGTGCTACTGACCATCATTTCTGTACAAAGGGAAGATAGTGGCATGTATCAGTGTTTTGTTTTCAATGATGTTGAGTCTGCTCAGGGAACTGCTCAGCTTTTGTTAGGAGGTGAGTTTTTGTTTTATTAAGTATTTTTTTTATATTTTTATTGAAATATAACGACTTATACAAAATAGCCAAAACATTATAACCACCTACTCAATTATGCATTGTCTAACCTTTGGCCTGAAAACAGCCATCACTTGCTTTGGCATGGATGCCACAAGTTCTTGGTAGATGACTGGAGACACATTTACCAAATGTCTAAGCAGCGTTCACACAGAGTTTAGATATTTTGATGTGATGGTGTTTGAGCTCCATGACATCTCAAATGTGCTCTATCAGGTTAAGATACGGCAAGTTAGGTGGTCAGAACATTAATTGGAATTCATCCCTTATGATCCTCAAGCCACTCTAGCACAATTTAAGCCTTGTGACATGGGGCATTGTCCTTCTGGAAGATTCCATTTTCAGTTGGGAAGACAGACACTATGTAATGGGGCAACTGATCCACAATTATGTTCAGATAATCCGCAGCTTTCATGGTCTGTCCCAGAGCCCCAACTAACGGGCTCAGAACTGTCCATGAGAACGCACCCCAAAACATGATACCACTGCCACCAACCTATGTATGACTTGCTGTAAAGGGGAGGGGGAGCTACTGTTCACCTGGAAAAGACTGCATACCCTGATACGATCATCAACGTGATGAATGAGAAATTGTAATTCATCTGACCAGGCAACTTTATTCCACTTAGCCATGGCTCAGTCTCAATGTTCCTGGGCCCATCGTAGGTGTAGTTGCAGTGACTCTTGGTCAGTACAAGTAGGACATGTGCTAAGCATCATATAGTATTAAGGAAGCAACTGGAACCTTTTAATTTTAAAGGGGCAGCAGCATTGATAGTAATTTTGTTATAATGCTATAACACAGAATAGTAAAAATCTTATGTGTAAAGGTTTTGAAATATGGCTATTTTATACAGACATCTGATGGTTTGATACTTATTTTATAGGAATTTAAAGGAAAGGCAACTGTTTTGAATTATTTTATAGAACTATTCTCTGTTTTACTTTTTTATATTGTCACTGAAAGCTAGAAGAGACACAGACCAGATGAACTGAAGAAAATAAAACTGGGTATTACATATTAAACAGACCTGTTTTGGAAATTTAAAATTGCAGGATTAAAAAAAAAATTAATTTTTGTTACATCCAAGACTAAAATTTTAGCATTCGTTTCTGTGTTTTAAATGAAACTTGGAGTAATATTCATATTATCAACTTATAAAATGTTGTAAATGGGGGGGGGGAGATCCAGCAGTTCAACTTTTTAATCACTCACACATGTTGCATAGAGTTGTGCAGGGAAGATTTGTAAAACTTCTTGAACTAAAAATATTAAATTGGTAAAAATTCCAAAAGTTTGAATCGAGGAATGTGTTATAACAAATTTGATCCAGCTGCAAAATACATTCATGAACGCAAATCAAAATTTAGAAATTCCTACCAGGAATTTCAGTTATAGATAAAAAGCTCTTTTACTACAACCCTGCTTTGTAATCAATCATCTGAAATTTTCTTAATATATTTGCTTAATCCTTATGTATAATTTAGTAGAACAAGTTTTAGTGCTGTATATCGGTTTCTGATAAAACAAAGCAGTTGCTAGTGAAATATTGAATACAGTCAAAAGTCGTTAATCCGGACTCGTTGGGACTTCGGCGATTCCGGATTATAGATCATCAGTTTAAGTCGCGTAAGATGGCATGCAGAAATTATAAAATTAAAAATATGAAACCGTAATTTATGAAATAAAGAACAATTATGATCTAAAGGATATCAAAATTTAAAAAAAAAAAAAAAAAAAAAAAGCTTAATATTTATTTGTTTACTTTATTAAACATTTCTTTCAATGTAAGTTGTTTAAGTTGCTTCGTTTTATGTGATAATACTTTCTCTTTAATTCTATAAACAGACATAATTTTTGTTCAGTTACAAAGTTCCGCTGTTCAAGTCCGTTAATTGCTGCTGCCAAGATACCGACTAACTTGTCAATCGAAATTTTTTCGTTTTCACTAACCTCTCTGTCACATTCTTCATGTCTTTATCCGTTTTTTGCAGCAATTCCACTTTTTGTTTGATGGACATTGAAACATACTTTCGTTTTGTACGATCCTTTGGGAGCTCCAGATACGGAAATTCTATTTGACATAATCGTGTATTGACATAATCGTGTAATGTGTATTTCTTACAGTTCAAGTTTACTTTTATAGTATTTCTCTTACAGTCTGCAAAAATAATAAGCCGGATCCAATTCGAAAATTAAGGAACAATGCAATCATCAACATTAACTGAAATAGATAATTAGATAATTTTAGCTTATACCGTTCGTTATACATAAAACGCGCACGCGAAAACGTATTCTGCGCTTACGCACATGCAAATGTGCAGTCGTAAGAGGTCTTATGCGCATGAGTAAACGCCTATGCGCATGTGTCAACGTGGTGCATGCGCAGAAAGTTTTTAGCTTTGAGATCCGGTTATAGATCATTCCGGATCATGGGTGTCCGAATTAACAACTTTTGACTGTATAGTAATTTTTATCTTTTTAATTACACCATTGGTAAACTGTTAACTTACAACCAAGATTTTGTGAAGCCAACTGTCAATACATAAAAATTTATTATTAATAATTTTGTATTGATGATATTTATTAAACCATTTCTTCCAACAGCTGTTTCATATGGAAAGCCGTATGCAAAAAATTAATTTTAGCTATGAATATTTGTTACTTGAGAGAAATCCAAAATGTGTAGAATCTATTTTAAAGGAATCTATTTTTGATAATGTTTGAAGCAGTTTTTTTGGCACTAATGTCTTTATGAGAAAGCAGGTTTTTAATTTCAATTGGAATATAAGTAGTTTAAATGTTGTTTTTTTAATAATATTATTTTATGTGTAAATTGCATTATAAAATTTAAAGCTGCAGTCAAGACTAATGCAAAAATTCAAGGGTAGTAAGTCTTTTTGTATCTTTTTTGTCATTAAATGTTTGAGTAATATATTTTTTATGTGCAAATTTCATAAGTGGTATAATAATAATTTTATCACATATCAAGCAATATTTATTATTACTTTGTGATAATTAAATGATTTACCAATTATATCTTCATTAAGAAAATGTTTTTTGTAAAATAAAATTTAGTTTAAAATTGGGGGGGGGGGAGTAACCATTTCAAAATTTACACCATTCTAAGATTGCAGTTTTATCTCATTTTAAATCTAGCATTGGCAAGTTTCTCAGTTGAAACTTAATTGTTGAAACTGAATAATAATAATAATAATAATAATTTAGTTCTATTTGTTCTGAAATGATTGTTTGCTAAATTTTTCTCTTGTTCATATATAAGTTGCAAATCTTTGTCCTTGTTTACAAATATATTTATGAAATAATGTACATATGATTTCTTATTTGTTGTGTGTATTTCTTACAGATGCTGCACCTGTTTTTCATTATGTGTTTACTGAAGAAACTTTGCAGCCGGGACCATTTATATCGTTAAAATGTGTGGCTTCGGGCAACCCGTTGCCACAAATAACTTGGACGCTTGATGGTTCTCTGTTACCGGAGGATCAGCGATTTCGTGTAGGAGATTATATCACAATGCAAGGTCGTGTTGTGAGCTATGTAAATATCTCTGATGTTCGTGTTGAAGATGGAGGGGAGTATGAGTGTCATGCACGAAGCACGGTGGGCATCGTAAGCCATGCAGCTCGGCTCAACGTTTATGGATTGCCCTATATCCGTCCAATGAAGGACGTGTCGGCGGTCGCAGGAGAAAGCCTCATGCTACGCTGCCACGTTGCTGGATATCCCATTGACACAATCACGTGGCATCGAGGTTAGGTTTCTTTATTTGCTTGTCAAACTTTTAACTGAAGTTGTATATTAACTGTAAAAATACTTTTAAGTGCATATGGCTTTATAATGGACTGAATGCACACAGAACTGATAATAGTTTGATAAAATTTAGTTTTCCCAAAGAAACACTTTTACAATTCTGGACATTTCACAAAAGTACTCATACAGCTGTTCTTAATATAACATAGAGTGCAATCAGTTATTAACACGTCAAACTACCAATAATGTTAAACACAGCGCAATGCAAAAGTGCATCTAAAGAGCAAAGCTTGCATAGAGATCTCTCAATATTCTAAAGTTTACTCTTAACTGAGAAACTGAGAACTCATGCCTTCTGCAGTCTCATAATTTTCCCTGGCTGCCAAGAAAGCTCTAGTAACTTCTATTTCTTGAAATTACTGGAGGGTATGTATGATTAAAGTTACATATAAGGGCCAGATACAGTAACATTCAGGACTCGATTACATTTATTTAGTTATACAGGGACTGGACCAGAATATCCGCAAATGTTTGCAAAGTTTCATGACTTTTGGCGATTTTTCGCCAACTTGACAACAAAAATTAGTCACCAAAACCACCACCAGCTTGCCAGTAGCTTGTCAATTCAGCAAGATAGCCATTTACCTCAATATTAAATGGACTTGCCCCTGTAACCTTATTTTTCTGGCAGAGCTTCATCTCTTGGAACATTTCATGTTATATTGCAATTTTACATATAATTTTATTAACACTATTAACATATTTATTGAGTTCATAATGAGGCATCCTTCCAAAGAACTGCACATCCTGAACAGAAGCCATAAGCCTAAGGAAAATCAATGCAATATTAAAATAATAATTTCAATAAATAATATACAACAAATTAAATACTAAATCAATAAATAAATGCATACATTTATAAATCATATATATAAAACCTTGACCTTAGTATACTATTTATATTATATGAACTGTGGTCAGGGCTATGGAGTTGGTAAGGAAAATGACCGCCTCCGACTCCTGGAATTTTAAAGACTCCTACTCCCTCATATATATGTAAACATATACACATGCATTACGCCTTGACAGGAACACTTGAGCATTTTAAATGGTAATGCCTTGACAAGAAAAGATTTTATTAATATACATCCAAAAGATTTCAAGGGTATACCGTACAATAAAGATTATATGAATGCTGGCATGATTGATATATACACTGATGGCTCCAGATATGAAGGCGGAACTGGTTGCGCTTTTGTTATTTTTTATTTGGGAGTCAAAATATATAATAGAAAAATACGATTAGAAGAAATAAATCAGTGTATCAAGCTGAAGCGGTTGCAATTAGAGAGGCACTGCAGTGGAGTTATAAAAACTTAAAACAGTACTTTACAATACATATTTATTCTAGATGCTCTCTCAGGCTCTACAAGGCCTTAGGCAAATCCAGGAACCAAGCAATAGACTTCTTTTGGCAATATAAAAAACATTTATAACAAAGTAAGAGAGAAAAATTGGTATATATTTTCATCGGGTCAAGGTACATATTGGTGTTATCCGGGAATGAGAGGGCGGACATGCTAGCTAAAGAGGCAGCCCTGGGAAGAGGGTGATATTTATGACGATATTAATGATTCCAGCAGAATTACCATGAGAAAAATGAAAGCAAGTATAATTGAGAAATGGGCTCGGGAATGGAATGGTTCAAATAAAAATAAGGGTTACTTGAGGATTTTGACCATAAGGAGAAAAATGATAACCCCATGCTGTGAATTGGAAACAATAAAATAAAATGTGTGAAGACCATTAAGTACTTAGGACTCACCATAGACCAGAAATTCAATTGGATACCTTATCTCCAGGAAAAGAAGATAATACTCGCCAAAATCGCAAAAGCATTAAGGTCGATGAAAGGATATTCCTGGAGTCTTAATCATAGCATTATGAAAATTCTATTAAAGACAGTAGTCAATAAAATAATCACCTATGGAGCTGCTATCTGGGGCTTTCCCATGACAGTGATAAAAATTCGCACTCTTAACTCAATTCAAAGACCTTTCTTGATCAACCTATGGAGCTGCTATCTGGGGCTTTCCCATGACAGTGATAAAAATTCGCAATCTTAACTCAATTCAAAGACCTTTCTTGATCAATATTACCCGATCATTCTTGACAATCTCCACCAACACTCTGCGTACAATAGCCGGGGTGACCCCCCTACCAATTCAAACAGAAATCGACGCACTGTCCACAATAATCCTACAACTCAAGAAAACTTCCATGTACAATGACGTAATTTTCAATGCACAAGACTATGAAGAAAAGCCACCGAAATATAACAGACATCCCACTCTGGGCCTTCACAATCTCCATTGTAACCTTGACAAGACACCTCCATTAACTGATTTTACTGCATACATAAATGGCTCAAATATTGAAAATAAGGTATTAAACCGTGTCACCATAAAAACAAAAACAGGCCTCCACTCCGAATGGCAAGGTTACCTTTGGCCGCAAAACAGTGTATATCAAGCAGAGTTCACAACCATACTAAACAGCATTATGCGACTTAGTGTCTTAAAAACAGATACCATCCACGTAATCACCGACAGTGCATACATGCCATCAAACAACAGCACACAAATTCTCCAATAGTCCAGCAAATTCAAGACATCATAAGCACAAGTAATAAGAAATTTATCCTTTCATGGACCAGAGGGCACAACGCCTATGAAGGCAATAAAAGGGTTGGGTACTTTTCCGTTTTGCCGGCGCAAGCGATAAAGTCGCCAATAATTTAACTGTGTTGAACCGATGCCAAACGGAATATTCCCGCTGGTAACCTTTTAAGCCTCATTTTCAAAACAAGTCGCAGCTTTTTCTTATCAGATTGATTGTTTCTTTCAAATACTGGCATATAATTACATAGAATTTTTATCAGATAGTTCAGTTTTATGTCTAAGGCCATTTTCGGTAATTAAGTCAATCAGGATGCAATCACAGCGCTTAACCCGAAGCCGAAAAATATAGAAAAGGTAAAGTCAAGTGGTTAAATTCATCAATTCTAACGAGAATGCATTAGCAAAGTAAAGCACTGCAGTTTTACATAATTTCTAAGTAAGCTATTCGTACGAATTGAAATATTTCTTGCATTTAAACTTGTGTTCCAAATTAAGATTTAACTTGAAATTAATGTAGATAATTACTGAGAGCATTAGATTTTTGTAGAGTAGTTTACGTAAGATGAGATCGCTTGGTGTCACGTGATATAAACCGGTGAATCAGGATGTTGAACCATGAAAGCATAGTAAATTCTTAAATTAATGCTTTTTACAAATTTATTGTCTTTATTTATTGGCTTTTTATAAAATTTTAAGCGATATTAAAATGTTTATGCCTTCGAAAAAGGAATTCTTAGAACTAACATTTTTTTAATATTTTTTATGTGTATACTGTATGTTGTCGCCAATAAAGTCTGCTTGGCGAGATTTGCGCCGGCGAAACAGAAAAGTACCAAGGGTTGATTTTCTAGCAAAACAGGCAGCTCTAGAACAAACAGGATCTCAAATTCATATCCCATGGCCTAAATCAGCATTAAAGTACAAACTAAAACAAATGGCGAATGAAAAGTGGCAACAGCGATGGGAACAAAGGCCACAAGGATGACGTATATTCGAACTGCTACCCAAGGCTGATGAAAATTCCACAATAACAACCTACTTCCTCACCCAGTACATCTCGGGTCACGGTCCCTTCCCCAAGTATTTTAATGATCACAATATGGCTACGTCGGATAGGTGCATATGCAGAGAAAGCGGAGACCCTGAACATTATATGTTTCAGTGTCCACTAACGTCAGCCCATCACATTCGCCATCCCACCAATACTGGAATAGAATTTAGAAGATTCATCATTAAGCACCATAATGTTTTCCAAAACATCAAAAATATTATTGATTTCCTACACCACCAAGGACTGGACCTGTGTCATCCATAGCTTACAACCCATAATAATCCTCTAAGTTCAGAAAATGCAACAATAAGAATATCCACTCTCACCTTCATACTATACAAAAGTGCCTTTAGAAAACACACATTTAAGTTACTCCATTTATTGAGACAACCGTGACTTTTCTCATACTACTCAAACTACGAACTATGAAATGCTTCATACTGTGCAATGTGTGACAAATATACCAGTACTACATACTCAACACTATGTACCATGAAATGAATTCATAAACTGTGTGTTGAACTATGAAATGTACTATGAATGAACTTAAAAACTGTGAACCGTGTAAAACAAAACGAAACAAACAACGAACCATGCACCATAATCACTCCCCCCTCTAACAAAGCTCTAAACCGAAACATAAAAGAAATGTGTATAGACATCTGTTAATAACTTATTGTAATTATTGTATTTATCCATTCAACTGCAAAATACCCGTGTTAAGTATATCTTAGACAACATTGTCTTGCAATGCAAATTATGCACCATTAATATATAACTGTGTATTTTGAATGCTGCAATGTATACAAATGCCCGAGCATAGCGTTAGCGTGCCTTATCAGGGTGCACTTCCATAGATGGTTAATGCAGTGGGGCGATACCAGTTTTGCCCATGGCGATGTTTTAGTGTCCCCTGTACTTCTTTCTGTCTGTCTGTAAGAACCATCCCAGGATGAATGTAGTTTGGGAGAAAGTCCTTTCCACATCTTGTCCCTTTCCTTCAACCAATATACTGTAGCTCTTGTGTCATATTGGGTCTTCATCTTCACTATCACAAAATTAACTCACTCTCGTGCAAAAATGTGCGTTGCTTCAAACTGTGGTTGGAGATCTCGAATGTCCTCAGGTCATGAAGGTGCATTTGGAAGTTGAGCAAACAAGAGATCACAAGGAAAATGAAGTTCCTGACTAAAGAGTATCTTGGATGGGGAATAGCTCGTAGTGTTGTGGACACCACAGCAATAGGTCAGTAAGAACTGAGGTAACTTCTGAACTGAGTCCTGTTGGTTTCTGAAAACCATCATTGAGAGGTAATTTAGGATGGTTCGATTAACCCTCTATACCATGCTGTCTGACTAGGGACATAAAGGTGTCACATGAGTTTTGTCCATGCCGAGCAGTTTGCAAAATTCTTTAACTATAGCTGAGATAAAAGTCCTTCCTGGATCAGAATGTGACTAAAGAGGCACTCTGAAACCAGAAATCCTTTGCTACTGTGACAGCCTCTTAATCAGAAGTAGGATAAGCTTCAGGCCACTTCTTAAAGTAATCAATGACAACAAGGAATATATTTGTTGCCATCAGCAGTTCATGGCAAAGATTGTTGAAATATGAGAAATTTAAATGTTATTTTTTAATTATACATATTTATAGAATTTGTACGTATAAGATAGATCTAAGTGATTTTCAAAATCAATTGTATAAATGTCTTAATTTTACATTGTGTAAGGGTTAAATTCTGTATATAATTTATAATATCTAGAGGCTTTCTTCTGTTTCATTCATTTATTCTTAAAATACCAGGAACAGTGATAATAATTGGTGTTATTTTTCAATTTTTTAGTACTTTATATATTTCATTTTTTATTTCAATGTGTTTTTGTGCTTTGATATAGGTGTATTGTTTTCTCTTAATTTATAAAATTCTATTCTGGCAAAAAGTAAAGCCTATAGACATGATTCTGCCTCAGAAACATAGAAATTAGATGAATGGAAATAATCTAGAAGCAGCTGCTGGCAAGTGTTGCCACTGCATAAAACATAAGCCTTTTCATTTGTCTTCCACATAGTGGAGTCTCATGATCTTGCCATTTGGCAACAAATATAAAACCTTTAATTTATTTTTCAGTATAAGATCTTTTATTCATCTTTATTGTCTGGCTGCTATTAACTATGATTTAAAAACTGTATGTAGTCACTTTAAAAAATTAATATATTTAATTTAGTTTTCATATTTAATTAGCAAATTGAGTGATTAAAATTAGTGAATGCACATCTTAATAATTTACACTTTTATTTGTCTTATTTTTTTAATAACTGATACATATTAACAAACTTTTGTTTTATAATATATACAACTGATGATTTTCAGGAGTATTTACAGCTTTTTTGTAATTGTTAAAAGTTATATGTTGTTTATAAAGTTATATGTTATATAACTATTATCAAACAGTTTTTTAAATAGAATTTTATTTTGTTTTGCTTTTTTAAAAAAATATTTTTAAATCATAAAAATATTTTTAAAAGAAGGCCCTTTTTTGAGTTGTAGACTGTTATTGCAGTTTTCAGACAATATTTTATTCATTCATTTATTTATTTATTCTAGAAAAATGGTGATTGCTACAGTATCAACCAACATAGAAATTCATTAAAGCATAGTGATTCTTTGTGCATCATAGCAATTAAAGTTATATCTATTTTTTTTGCGAAACTCGTAATGTTTATTTTCAATCAAATTAATTTGCTTATTTATTCAATATCTTAAAATTATTAAAAGTCTAATCCTGCATAAATTTTTTTGTTATTGTTTTGAACGGATTTTTTATTACTTTTTGTCTAGGGAACAGTAGACTGCCCATAAATCGTCGGCAAGAAGTCTTTCCTAATGGCACATTAATTATTCAGGATGTGCAAAGAGGAGTAGACGATGGGACCTATAAATGTAAAGCTTGGAATAAGCAAGGGCAAAATGCTTTTGGCACTGTGCGTGTTCATGTGATGGGTAAGACTCTTAGAAGTCAAGCCACCTGTTGGTTTATTATTATTACCGTAATTTCCGGAAGAAACGCCACGGCGTTTACGTGTTTAAAACTTAAATTTTCAGCGGGTGCGGCGTTTCTACCCATGCGGCGTTTAGGTGCACTAAAAATAAAATATTTCCTATGATGGTCATTGTACATAGTTTGGATGGCCTTGTGCTATAGACTGGTGCTGTTCCCACACAAAAGACCACTCAGTTGCTTATTGCGAATGTTATTTTGTTTCCATTCTTTCCCTTGAACGGACCTACATGCCTTATTCACCCTAAACGAGATCTCAGAACAATAACATTCTTCCCCCTTTCAAATCAACATTCTCATCAGTTTGAATAGTCTCTCTCCTCTGCCATTCGATGAATCTTCCAGGACCCATCCTCTCCCCACCCCTGCCTTTTCTGCAATTTTTTTTCAAAAGCGGACACGACTCCACCTGCCTCGCAATAACGAACTCACATATTTCCCCTTCAGCATGAATGGATTTTTCTTGGCATTCTGCCAAATACAGATCCCATCAGTTTGAGTACAAGTACTTGTTGGATAGTTTTTAAGTAAGAAGGGAGCAGAAAATTTTTGAAAATGTCTCTAAATGGCACAGAAGCTATACATTTCTTACCTTTAATTTATTTTTGAGTTATGGTTTCATTTCATGCATTTTCTTAACTGGTATGTCATATATCAAGACTTAGGTTGAGTTTTTGCGTCTATACGGCCCACGACGTCGTCACACGCAATTTAATCTATTGCGGCATTTCTGTGTAATTATAATTTTTTTCCCGCCATTTTTCTCGAGTGCGGCGTTTACGCTGATGCGGCCTTTCTTCCGGAAATTACGGTATTTCTTTGAAAAGGTAAATGTAATGCATTGGAATTTAGATAGTCCATGATTGCTTAATCTGTGAATGCTTATAATCTATGCTCATTTATGGATATAATAAAATTAATGTTAAGAAAAAATTCAGCTTTGATATATTTAATGGCATTTATTATATGCTATTGCAAATAAACTGTTTAACAAAAATGCACTGTTTTTACCACATTTTTATAGAGAAAGCAAATTAATTATATTACTGAAGTAATTTAACATTTTCTGTGTAGTCGTTATTTAACATTTCTCTCTTTTTATGATAAACATCGGTCATTAATATCTGCATACTTTTTCAGTTCAGATAAATCCCCACTTTTCTATGTGTGCTCTGCTGCCTTTTAATATTAGTTTTGAGTTTATATTATTAATACCGTAAAAAGTCTTTAATCCGGACTTGTCGGGACTTCGGCGATTCAGAATTATCGATTTTTCCGGATTATAGATCATCAGTTTAAATCTGGTAAGATGGCACGCAGAAATTATAAAATAAAAAATACAAAACCGTAATTTATGAAATAAAGAGCAATTATGATCTAAAGGATATCAAAATTTACAAAAAAAGCTTAATATTTATTTGTTTACTTTATTAAACATATCTTTCAAAGCGCGCATGCGTAAAGCATACATTATGCATAGTCGAAATTAGAAATTGCGACCAGAAAACTATTTGATGTATACTCATGATATTTATAATGATGAGGAACTTGAATTAAATCATATCAAAGACGGAATACATCGAGATGAAATACTACATTTAGTAAGGAATTATAAGCTGAATAAAATAAAAACAACTGCTCTGAAGATAAGGATAGTTTTGACAGAACAACTTCCAGTTCATTGCGCGACGTGATGTCCCCCCCCCCATCCGCAGGGCAGCGTAAAATTGATAAACAGATTTCGAAATGGTTAGAGAAACACAGGATATGCCTTTATCCATTTTTTGCAGCAATTCCACTTTCTGTTTGATGGACATCGAAACATACTTCCGCTTTGGCAGCTCCAGCATTGGAAATTCTATTCGACGTAATCGAAAGTTCAAGCTTACTTTTATAGAATTGCTCTAAAAGTCTGCAAAAAATAATAAGCCGGATCCAATTCGAAGATAAGAAACAACGCAATCTGCAACATTTAACTGAAATAGATAATTAGATAATTTTAGCTTAGCTTATATGGTCCGTTATACATTAAAAATACAATTAGTAAAAAATGCAATACTTTTTTAGTAACTGGCCATCACTTAGCTTCAAATATAAACATTGGCAGAAGTCTAATCAAATAATGGCAACCCTGAAGATGTGTAACCAGGGTTAAGACAAAAATAACTGCTGATTTACAGAAATGAAACAAATGAAAAGAACAATTTTCTGAGATGATTCAGTAGTGCCTATAATGAATGTGCCTAAGCATTCTCCTGTGACTGAGACAATGTGGCATCAGCATTCTTTTGTATTTCATAACAAATGCTGATTAAACATTTAAAAGATGTGTAATAAAATTTGCTTCTGATCACTGTCTTTTTCTCCCTCCTTCTAAAGTAGTAAAGAATTTATGTAGCTGAATCAAAATTTAATTTCTATTATTTATTTGTATAAGAGCTATTTTTAATCAAGCTTGGAAAATAAAAGGGAGTAGGAAGGAAAATATTTTAATATGTATAAAGATTATATGTATATATATAGTACTAACAAAGGTTAGATGCATTCTAATGTTATTCCTTCAAGCTGCTACTTTTCTGATATGAAAATTTGTAGTAACATGTCACAAACTATTTTATGGCTTTATCATAGGAACTTGCAATTAAACTAACATATTACATTATTTGAAGGAAATCATCAATTGCTACATATTTCAGATCTTCACTTTTATAGAACAACACACATTAAATTATCTTCTACAAAAAAAGGTATATGGGCCACCTTTACACTGAATGTGTTTCTCATATCTCTTGTATCAGTTTTCAAAGTAAGTATTGTCAATAAAAAAGTTTTTAACCACTCAGCAATTGACGGAATTTGAAAAAAACCAGTCTCCAAAATGTCTATTTATTATTGCCGAAATTGTAAAAAAATTATACTTATTTTCTCAACATTCCACTTGAATTCAACTTGAAACTTGTACTATGCCTTCACACAGTAAGTAGGAAATTTGTTTGTTTCAGGTTTAAGCTGTTCAGCAAAAAGTTCTTATTGTGCTTTGCCTGAGTTAGTTAGCTATCTAGAATATCGTGTAATTTTCCATTTATTTCTACTGCCATTTAAAATTTCATCCTCTTCTAGTACATTCAACTTGTTTTAAAAGTTTTGCTCAAATTTCTTTTTTTTTTCCCATCGAATTTTACTAGAGCAATCTTCTTATCTAGCAGCTAAACAGCCTAATATCTAACTTATATTTGGCTAAATCAGTATTTAATATCTCAGCAAACTGACATCTATTGTATCTCTATTTGAATTACATATTCTAGTTTCTAGATGCTTAGCATTTCATGAAATGAAGGAATGCAGTATGAAAAGTCTTATAAATGACTTCTTGTACATTGTTTCCATAGTGTTACCTATGGATTCATCTTCTGTTTTCAAAGATTTTATAATAGTTACCTAATAAAAAATGCTTATATAAAGGCATATTGGTTTGATAATTTTTACCTTTTTCTCACTAAATCATCAGAGGGCATCTTTATTGCTTGTAAATTAATTTATATAGATGCTTCGTAAATGTTAGTTCATAATTATTTGTGCAGTAAAAAAAGTGCTAAAATATGTATTTTCATTGTAACTATTTATTTAAAATCAACCACAAAAATGATAATACTGGTTCAGCATTATTATTTTTTCAGTTGATTTTATTTAATTTATCACGATTTTATTTAAAATAAGGAAGTTAAATTTTTGTTTTCTTTTCCAGTGAGGCCCGTTATTGATCCATTTTTGTTTCCCAAAAACCTTCAAGAAGGTATGCGCTCCCGCCTTGTTTGTACTGTGATTCAAGGGGATCCCCCCTTTGTCATCAGCTGGAAAAAAGATGACAGGCCCATTGAACCTGGCCTTGGGGTTGTCATTCGCAATGATGAATTTTCCAGCGACTTGACATTTTCCAGTGTTACACCTCGTCACAATGGAAACTATACTTGTATTGTTAGTAATGCTGCTGCCTCTGTCAGTCATACTGCTATGCTTGTTGTGGATGGTATTTATTATCATTTCCTATATACATTATAATTTTTGAAAACATTTATATAATATTGTATATATTTAATATCAAGTATGTTGAGATGACTCTTGAGCCATATGTGGCTCACATTGCAAGATTATTTATGAAATGTTGTATGGTTATAACATTAAATATTATTGCTCCAACACACTTTTTCAACAATCACTAATTTAATTTATAAAATTAATTATTTGAAAACAGTTTTAATGTGCCCTCCTTGCATTCATATAATCAAAATAATAAATTAAAAAAAATCGCTTCTATGACTGATAATGCTATTTTACAATAGTATATTTGAAATTTAAAAATATATGCTATTTTTATAATTTATGGCATGATAATGCTGTTTTTAGAATTAATAGAGTTACTGGGATAGCAGCAATATTGTATACATCAGCAACATGCTGTCTTAATAATTTGAATTGAATATGAATCTCATGGAATGCATTTTGTTGTAGAAAGGGGGGGGGTGTCTGCTGATGCAGTTCACATTTGATAAATTTAGTAAAGTGATTTTAGATGTAATCTTTTTATGTTCCCCTCCCTAAGTTACTTCTTAATGCTAGAAGGGGGGGCCGTGCTGTTATTTTTATATGAAAACTCTGCCAGACAAGTTGTTCTAACATAATTTTAATATTTTGCTTTAATTATTTTCCCTTTCTAATTTTTTGTAAATATAGGTTGTAATATATCTTTTTGTTCAGGAAGAAACACCATTAAACAATTTTATTATTTGATACATCTCAAAGCTCTTATTTCAATTTTCAACACCTTTGGCTTCCTAGGGGCTCCTTTTCAACTTTTGGATAAATTCTAGTTTGCATCTAAAATGGGCCTTAGAAATATTTTCCCTTCTTTCACCAACTGTGAAATTTGTTTAAAAAAAAATATTTGTATCCTATGCCAGAGGGCAGATTTCTCTTGCCTTCCCTAGTCTTTCATCTGAAATTAGCAAAGATGATAAGAATAAAAGCATGCTTTCAAATCAGCAGTTTTTGTGATTACACTAAGAGATGGACCTTAAGTGCACTTCCATTTTCCCTATTTTTAAGTGAGCTGTCTCTTTGTGTGATCTTATCCCACCACATAAAGGGAAGAAGGCATGACTGTGGAATGACAAATCAGTTGTCAATCACCTCTTTTCATTTTCCTTGCATTGTAGGATTTTGGAAAACACGAAGCAACGGGTGTCTTTTGGGGGCTAACATATCAATGAGTCTTTCTCTTGGGAAAGGGTGAAGCCTGAAATTAAAATTTTAGCTAAACAGAGACAAATGAAACTCGAGTGAAATAAAAAGAATTTAATACACTTGTATTCAGTCCTAGTGTAGGGTCAGTAAACTCCCCATCCCTTTGTGAACATAATATTGAATCCTAAATAACTTATAAATTAATCATAAAAAATTATTACATCATAAACTGTTATAATGTAAAGAAATTCTGTTTTGTCACAGAATGGAAAAGGAGAAGACTGGTGCTGCCATCTATTGGCGTGGTACCATCATAATCTTCTTTTAATTAGCACTTCTAACTAAAATGAAGTAAATATATAAGATTCAGCATGTGTAGGTCATATATTTCCAGATTTTGAAATTTTTCTTTCCCTCCAATAGAATTTATCAATCTTCAAACATGATACCTTGGAACAAGGTATATTAATTTCATAACTGCAAAATATTGAGCATTCATAGGGTGATGCTGCCATATAAAATCGAAAGGAAGCACTAAACACTTACGATTATAACTTTTGGTGGAGAAAAATTAGCATTTTTTTGGAGGTTAAAAAATTGACAATATATGCCGGTTGTTTGTCAGTTTTTTACAACCGATATATATTATATACCGGTGCCCTTCAAAGGGTTGAGTCAAGTCTTTCTATCTCATTTCTTGCTTGATTCTTTTTGCTGTAAGCTTGCTAACCAGTCCTGATCCCACTTCTTGTATAATTCTTTCCTTTCTTCACTCAATTTTCCCTAATCACTCGTGATTAACTCCATGTTCCTGATCTTTTCCATCAAAGTTGTTGTAAGTGAACAGTAGGTCATAGAAAAAAGATGCGATTCATTTCAAGAACTGAGTAGTTCTGATAAGATCCTACAAAATAGCGGTTTTGCCCATTTTGTGAATGGAGTACCACTGAATTCAGGTCCTGCTACTGGATTGTGGCAAACTAGTTTAGTGCATATTTCTAGATAATTTTTTCTTGTTTCTTTCTGAACAGCCACTGTTGCATCTCTGATGTGTTTGTAGTTCCTTATCTTCAAGCTCTACTAGTGACCAGTTGCCAAGAGCACAACATATGACCACATATGAAGTGCAGCATCCAGAAATTCCTAGATAAATGGACACCATGTTCTTCTTCCTTCACGCATGCATTCACGTGATCTGTCTTTTACTTAATTCATCTAGTTCATGAACACATGAATGATACACCGCAGTGTACTTATATCTACAATAGTTTAACTTTGGCATTGTCAAAGCCATATGACCTCATATATTGCAAATGAAAATACAGTGCATTTTCTACTCTATGCTTGGTCATGTTAGCAATGTATCTTGTTGCCTATAGGGGGTACACAAGATTTTTTTTCATTCCTTAAATTAAACTGAGCTTTTACTGTAATCTTATTCTTGTACTATCCTGTTCTTGCACAATAAATTCTGTACCATAAGTATGTCTTTAGCAATATTTTTCATTCATAATGTACAATCCTATTCTTGTACTTGTATCCATCCTATTCTTATACAATAAATTTTGTACAATAAGTATGCCTTTAGCAATACTTGTCATTCATAGTGTTGAACTGGCAGTGGCCGATAATATAAGTTACTAGATAGCTAATTAATCATGTTATTCTATTACAATTATTATTATTGTTGTAGTGTTGTTTTATTTCTGATGCAACTACATGCTTGTAGTTGGTGGGATGAGATTTGCTGTGGCTATTCTTAAAGAGTTTGATATGTCATAAACAATTGTAAACTCTTATATACCATGTTTCCTGCCTATTTTCAGCTAAATGAGACTAATCTGATTCCATGTGGGCAGTGATAATTGTAGAAACTTTTAAAAATTATCTTGTATAAGTAAATTTGTAAATTCATATGTAGTTTATGTAAATTTGAACATGCCTTGCATCTTTGTGCATATAAAATGATTTTCACGTACCAGTGTTTTTTAAAACTTTATTTGTAACAAACTAAAGTACTGAACATTAAAAATGTTGAGAAATTTTTTTTATTGTATTTTAGTTCCTCCTCGGTGGCATGTGGAACCTCGGGATACCTCTGTTGTTTCTGGGCGAAATGTGCGCATTGATTGTTTAGCAGATGGTTTTCCTGCACCTGTGATAACGTGGGAGAGGGGCTCAGGTAATATTTTAATGTAGTACATTGCTCTTCATTTCAGATTTTACTTTTCATTTCTTCTTTTAGAAGCTGCTTGCTCTTTTGTAACTTTAAAACTATTTTTAAAAATGGAGTTACGTGTTGCGACATTGGCTTCAGAATTTCTTTAAAATGTTCCACTATATTTGCTTATATCAATTTTTTATATAAAACAGTGTAATCTTTGATATAATGTGATAAATATAGAAGAGCAGAGAAATTAGGAACTAACAGATACAAATAATTTGAGTAAATCTATTTACAAAATATGCAGTTTTGTATTAAAATATTCTGGAAACTTTGTTTTAAATTTCTTCCTTTTTTAATTTTAATTGCAGTATATATATATATACACACACATGCACATATATATATATATATTAGAAGCTACAAAATAAAGCACCTCAATGTGATATCACAGAAAATGTTTTATTTATGAAATTTTATGAAAAGTGTCAATAGTTATTCAGTCTTATATATTTCTAAATATTAATTTATTTTGAATTATTTCCATGTATTAGCTTTGTGATACAGAGTATAATAATTTTTCTTTTTTTTAATACAATTGATGTATGCAATTATATTTATATACATATTGACTTTATACAATTTATACAATACCTTTTTTATAGGATTTCTTTTTTTATACTTATTTTATACAATATTTTTTTATACAAGTTATATTATTGCAAATTTCTGATCAAAACTATTTCATTTTTTTATTCCTTCCTTGTAATATTTATGTACAAGACATTTATAGTAATTTTGAAGAAGAGTTTTATTGAAATTATGAGATTTTTAAATAGAACTATTTCATGTAGTATTTTTAATCTATTACACATAAAATTATAATTTTTTCAGAAAAATTTTATGTTTGTAAATATGTGATAGTATTTTACAAGCAATGTTATAAGTATAAATTGCTATTACATAATGCTATCAGTATTCCTTTTTACACAAAATAATTTCTGTAGTATATGTAGTATGTTTTCATTTTTTTCAGTTCTCCTGGTAAGTTTAATACTAAATACATCCATTTATTTTGTCTGCAATTTTATATCTTAAAATTACCTATTCTAGATGACTGGTAGCATTAAAATGTATGCTCTTTTACTTAAATTTTGAGAATACAATCAAAAGTCGTTAATTCGGACATCCATAATCCGGAATGATCTATAAACCGGATCTCAAAGCTAAAAATTTCTGCGCATGCGCCGCGTTGACACATGCGCATAGGCGTTTACGCGTGCGCGTAAGACCTCTTACGACTGCGCATTTGCGTGTGCGCAAGCGCAGAATACGTTTTCGCGTGCGCGTTTTATGTATAACGGACGGTATAAGCTCTAATTATCTATTTCAGTTAATGTTGATGATTGTGTTGTTCCTTAATCTTCGAAGTGGATCCGGCTTATTATTTTTTGCAGACTGTAAGAGCAATTTTATAAAAGTAAACTTGAACTTTCGATTATGTCAAATAGAATTTCCGATGATAGAGCTCCCAAAGGATCTACAAAACGAAAGTATGTTTCGATGTCCATCAAACAAAAAGTGGAATTGCTGCAAAAAATGGATAAAGACATGAAGAAGGTGACAGAGAGGTTAGTGAAAACGAAAAAATTTCGATTGGCAAGGTAGTCGGTATTCTTGGCACAGCAATTAACGGGACTTGAACAGCGGAACTTTGTAACTGAACAAAAAATTATGTCTGTTTATAGAATTAAAGAGAAAGTATTATCACATAAAACGAAGCAACTTAAACAACTTACATTGAAAGAAATGTTTAATAAAGTAAACAAATAAATATTAAGCTTTTTTTTTTGTAAATTTTGATACCCTTTAGATCATAATTGTTCTTTATTTCATAAATTACGGTTTCATATTTTTTAATTTTAGAATTTCTGCATGCCATCTTACGCAATTTAAACTGATGATCTATAATCCGGAAAAATCGATAATCCGGAATCGCCGAAGTCCCAACGAGTCCGGATTAACGACTTTTGACTGTATTTATTTTTTCAATGATATTAAATATTATTTAACAAATGAATAGGATTTTAAAATTTAACTTTGAAACATTGCATACATACTTATGGCAACATTTAAGTATGTATATAGTACAGTTCTGAAAATTAAAGGACTGTAAGTTTTGCTTTAATATTTTTATATTTTAACAGCCAACTCTCCTCGCCACTATTCCGCCATAGCCAGTGGGCCTCACTATGAGGTCTACGCCAATGGTTCCTTGCTTATTAAAAATGCCCAAGAAGATGATGCTGGGTATTATTTGTGCCAAGCAAGCAATGGCATTGCTTCTGGCCTTAGTAAAGTAGTCTTCCTTACTGTTCATGGTAAGCATAATGCAGCATAAGTCATGTGTATAATGATCATTTTATATACTTTAATTGTGTATAATATAAGAAATGTACAGCTATTAAATTCAAGTCTGTTACTTCAGTGGTTGTTATAATTAATTAAATTTTTTATTCTTTTACTGCTGTGATCTTTCTTATGAGCTGAGAAACAGGTGATTCACAATATGTGTTATTTCTAACTTATTTCTAAATATGATGAGCAGCTATGAATTACTTATAGAAGTTAAAGTTATATGAACTGTTATGCCTTTTCAATCACTCTGTAAAAGAAAATATACTTGAACATACATGGAATACATTTGTTGCAAACTATAACTAATTTTAATAAACTTCCAGAGGTTTTAAATTTTTTTTTATGCTTAATGGAGTTAGTTATGACTTATTGTGATATGATTTACTACTTTTGGTTTATACTATATCGTCAAAAGGCATGAAACACCTTGAAATCAAAATATGCCTGCTTACTATTCGTACATTTGTGCAATTATATTTTCAGAAAATATAAAAGCAAACTTCTAGCTTTCTTGTATTATTTTTAAGAAAATTCAGGAAAAATATGACTTTGAGAAAGATAGGCTTTAGATTATTATACTGGGGGTTTATCTATTAGAAGCAAAATCAATCAATTAATCATATCCCTTTCAATAGTTTTTAGATACATTGTTGTTTAAGAAGAATGGTATATCAACTATTAAAATTGGTGAATTGGTGATGGATACCTTTCATGTAATCAGCTTACAGCAGAAGAGATATACAGGAGGATAACACTACTGCACCTAATATACTAATTTTATATATTTGCACCTGTTGCAAAGAGTTTCATTTCATGGCCATTCATTTACATGACCTTTCTTTCATGGACCCAACTTAACATCATTAATGTGAATTAGACATTTTTAATATAAATTAGAGCCCTGTGAAAAGAGATTAAATTTTAAGTTTGCTATATAGCAAGAGTTTGCAGTGGTGTTACAGATATGTTAGAAAGATATTTCTACCCTGCTTTCTAACACTTTTTTTTTAAATGTGCCCTAGAGGTCTTGATAGATCTACGAGGGCCATCCAGGAAGTAGATTACGTTTCCGTCTGTGTCCGCTAGGGGCGGGGCTAGCGCGGCCATCTTGGGGTCAGAGCGTTGCGCAGCTCAGTCTGCATCTAGCCGTGCTAGTGAGAGGTTCGTGCTGTGCTCCGTTCAGATACTGTGACGGTTTGAAATGTCTGCTTTAATTGAAAATCCGCGAGCTGCGAGGTGCGCTCAGTAATAAGGTTTCTGACTGCAAAAAAACTGTAAAAACCGATAGAAATCTATCGGCAGCTTCGTGAAGTGTATGGGGACAACATTATCACTGAAGGTGGAGTGCGTCAGTGGGTCATAAGATTTCAAAATGGCCCGAACCAATGTTCACGACGAAGATCGAAGTGGGAGACCCAGCATAGTGACCGCCGAACCTTCTCGGAAAAGTCGATGCTAAAGTCCGTGAAAATCGAAATTTCACAATAACGGAACTTTCTTTGAGTTTTCCACAATTTTCGCGAAGTTTGTTGCACGAAATCATCAGCGAAAAGCTTGGTTACACAAGTTTTGTGCAAGTGGAAGGCAAGAAGAGGTAACGAAGTGGATGAAGGCGCAGGCGGCCGAATTTTTCGACGAAGGAATTTCCAAGCTCGTACATCGCTACGATAAATGCCTTAATTTGTATGGTGACTATGTAGAAAAGTAGTATTTGAGTGTGGCTTTCATCTGTATATAATAAAATTTGTTTCCTATACTTTGTTTATTTTTTTATTCCAAAACGTAATCTACTTTCTGGATAGCCCTCGTATATCATGCTAGCCTATTTAAAAAAATATTGTTTTTACTAATTTGGGTATTTGTCAGTTTTTATCCATATTTAAGGTCATATATTGTATTTTATAACAACGCTGAATTTAGACTTTAAATTGTTTTTGTCAGTTTTCTGAAATGCCAGGCTACGGAATATTCAAAAAATTTAAAAATAATGGCTAAAATTTTAAGATGTGGCTAAAATTGTTAAGTTTAAATTTAAATTCTATTGTTAAGTTTAAAGCATGGTAAAATGTAAGAAATACTTGTTGTCAGAAATTTTTTCGTGTGGGGATAAAATAAACTACACTAGGAGGTTTACAGTTATTTATAAATTTTATGTATATTATAAGTTATTTCTGATCAGTCCTTTTAAATTTCGGTTTGTTAACTGCACATAATTATGGTATGCTTTTAATCTTAATACAGTGAAAGAGCTAAAATAAATATTTTAAAGAGCTTGTAGCAAAAATTAAGTTGAGAAGACTAAAACTTCAGTTAATGAATAGCTAATTTTCATTCCTCAAATCTAAAGTTAAATTAATTAGGAAGAATAATTATTGAAATTAGGTGGGAAATACTAATATTTGCATTCTAAAGGACAAATAATGGTGTTTCATTGCTACTTTATTAGGGGAGGGAGAAAGAATTTGACCTGCAGAGGGTTTTCTAACATTTGATGTACATGATCTATCACTTCTATTTAGGTATTCATTATTACAATGAGTGGTGAATATCCTTCTTATAGGAGACTAGAATGATTAGAATATGACTACTGCACCATAAACTGCCGAGAAAACTTTGTCAATCTTTCAGATAGTATTAATACTCAAACAGTGGAATCATTCTAGGTTGTTATAAAGCTAAAGATTCTGCATGACATGGTTCCAGATTATCTCACAGAAGAATGTTAGAAATTACTGACAAGATGTTAGAAATTTAGATTATCTGTAAATAAAATTGACTGTGTTTTGGCAATCTTGCATGGCAGTCTTAATGTATATAGCTAAATGACTTAAAAAGAACAACTCCATTTTTGTCTTGTAACAGTGGAAGGAATATAAATTTAACAGAATTAAAAATTTGATAGGGAAATAAAAATTTGATAGGGATTTGATAGGAAAAATTCATAGGTTATTAAATTAATTATTGGAATCGTTTCCATATATGTATTCTTAATTATATGTATTTTTTCATATTTAAAATAAAATTTTATTGGTGTCATTTAAGAAATCAGTAAGTAACTAATAGTGTAGATCACGTATGTTATTATACATTATGAAGTATCATTGCTGAATTGATATAGCATTGCAAAATTTTTTTGAAAAAACTTTTAAAGTAATAGAATACCATCAAAGATTTCAAAGAAATGGTATTTTCCAAAATTTAATCTAAAACTATTATGCAGAACTTCCTATACCCCTTTTCAAGTCAGAACTACCATTTTACTTGAGAAGTTTTAAAGTATTTGTAGTTATTTTCTTGTTGGAAATCTGCATAGCAAAACTTTTGAAGTAGAAAATCAAAATATCCTGATTTTAATTTTTTGTTTAAACTTTTTAAATTTAGCTTGTTTGCATATGCTTTGTGGGATTTTGAGTAACATAAAATTATAAAAATGTTTGTGTTAAATTCCTATAAAATTAATGTTTTATGAAGTTTAAAAGTAATTAAAAAATAATGCTTATAAAAAATTGCAAAATTTTGTTTTCAATTCTTTCGTGTTTCTATTTTTTAAAATCTATTTTCTGAAAAGTTTTAGTACTTTATTTATTTTCTAATTTTAATGAAAAATACAGAGTAATAGTTCTTTAGGAATGCTAAAAATGCATAGAATTATATGTAAATTCTTGACAGTGTGAGTTTTATTACCTTTTCAGACAGACTTTTAAAATTTATGAATTGGTTAGATGGAAATCTATGCATTTTTTTCCAAATGAACTTCCTCTAAATGGCTGCTTTGACTAATTCACATAAATTGATTTTTCTTATTCTGTGTCTTCATCAGGGACTTTAATTTAGGTTAAAGATTCTTTTTTGCAGTTTTCTTTAAATGTTTTGGTTATTTTATTGCTTTCTAGAATAAGGTTATTTCAAAAATTTTCCCCCCTCATTAAGTATGCTGATTTTGGATTGATATTCATTTTTATAGCAGGCTCTAATTTGTGATCTTTCTGATATTTTTTTGTGGGAGATAAAATCATTGTTCCTATTAAAAAATAAGTATCCAGGGAGGGGCTATGGGTTAGTTACTTGGAACAAGCTATTTCTGAAGGCTAATTTATACATATTATTATAAATTTATTTACAAGTTTTTATTATAAATTATATTTAACAAAGTTTTTATCTTTATGGTCAATAACTTTATTATACAAGGATATGGGGCCCACCAGCCGGAGCGAGCGCGGAAAGTCGCTGAACACTGGTAGTTCGGTCCGAGGTGAATCCCGCGAACGGGCTGGCTGCATGGGTGTTTTCGTGGTTTTCCCCATGTGTAACGTGTATACGAGCCAGTTTCCCTTAGAAAGTCCTCTACGAAGGCATCCCTCCTCTTAGGCAGATAGCCCTCGAGGCTTTGCCATAATCACACACACACACATATACAAGGCATTTTTTAAAGTAAGTACCATTTTGAAATTCCAGAGCAGTAGCGCTGCTGTTGGCATTCCACACATGCACACTATTTACTCACATCTGATGAAAAACAACAGGTGCCATTACGGAAACTTTAAAATGTGTTAATTTTGTTTTTTGAGTAGTTAAATTGGCTCTGCCGACTGTGAAATATGATGTGTGAATTTGTTTTCTTAGTAGTTAAGTTGTGAAAGTGACTGAAATTCTTTGTCAGATTAGTGAAGTGTCTATTATGAGCATTGCAATGGCATGGAAATAGTTAGAGCTTTTAAAGATAGCCACTCAAATATTCATGATGATGAACACAGTGAACCTTCTGTGAAGACCTTATGCAGGAAGTTGAGAAGGAGTGAAACAGAACAGGTGCTTTACGATTTCGTTATTATCTGATGACTTTCCTCAGGTTTCACACAGTATCCTATATGAAATTGTGAATAAACACTTAAATTAGCAAAAATTCTGTGCATGCTGTGGTACCAAAAATGTTGACAGAGGTGCACGCAACCAAGCACTTAGGTAGTGTTTTAATTTTCTTTCAGCAGTACAGTGAGAAAATGTGGTAATTTTTTCAGCCAAATTTTCTCAGATAAAGAAACCTGGGTGGCTTATGCTACACCAAAATTGAAGCAGCAATCCATGGAATGGCAGCATTCATCATTGTCCTAGAGAATGAAATTCAAGAAAAACAGTTTCACTCCAGAAAATCATGTGTACTGTGTTTTGGGACAGAAAAGGTATGTTGCTTGTGCATTTTTTGCCTTGTGGTAACACAATAAGTTCTTCAAAGCATTATGAGACATTAAGCAAACTACGCTGCACAATCCAGAACTAAAGGCATGACATGCTGATAAGGGGGATTGTTTCATTCCATGGCAATGCTTATCCACATCTGAGTAAATGAACTCAAGATCTCATTGCACCATTTCATTGGGAACAACTTAATCATCCTGTGTACAGTCCCAATCTAGCACCCGAGACCTGTTCCTGCATTTGAAGAAGCATCTAAGTGGTCTTTGCCACAGTGACAACAATGAAGTCAAAATGATCATATTGCAGTGAGTGTCAAATCAGACAGCAGACTTCAGTGAAGAGGAAATTCAAAAATTGGTTGTATGATACAACAAGTGCCTTAATATTGTCGAAAATTATCGAGAAAAATAGACTGAGATACAGGCTTTCACATAAAAATAAAAATGTGTAAGAAAATTCTACTTGTTTTATTTTTATTTCCAATTCTTATGAATTTAATAAATTTAAATATGTGTACTTTATTTATTTCTCTCAGCCATGTACTTTCATAGCAACAAGTCTCTGAAAATAAGTAGGTTATTTATTATGAAAGTAAAAGTAATTTTTATTAAATAAATTACATAATCTCTAACATGTCATTTGGCTTTTAGTGCCGCCAAGTTTTGAAAACAAGTTCCGGAGCGAGACAGCACGCAAGGGTGATGTCGTGAGACTGAAATGCGAGGCGTCCGGAGATCATCCGATGACAATCGCTTGGAACATTGATAAACAGCCGCTCACTCCTGCCGAGGACCCGCGGTACGAGTGGCCCCCCAAGGCTCTGCTTTCGTGATCTATAGGTGAAAAGGCCTCTGTTGCATGAGGAGTGCAGTTCTTAGAAAGGCCCTTTTACTTTCATGTGTTTCTCTCTGAACAAAAAGTGCTTTGCTTAAAAAAGACAAATTAATAAATGAATATTAAAAAGAAATTTTTCTTCTTTTGTAGCTCAAAAAGTGTAAAAAGGGCTTTCAAATTTTTATTTAGAAACACTTTTTATTTAAAAGAATTCGCTTGTGTCATTATCTTCCAATATAATTTTTATTTGTTTAATACTAAAGAAAGACTGTAAATAGGCAAGCATTATTTGGTTGTTTTGAGAGTAAGACATGAAAAATTAAATTCAGAATGTTGCACCATGCACTCCTTTTTAATTTATCAATTAATTTTGATTTGTGCCTTGATGTTTCTGTATGGCTCATTGGTTTATGTTGCTTTCTTGAAAAGTAGAATGCATGTTTAATTCATTTCAGTTTTATTTGCACTGCTTCTTTGTAAAATTTGTAATGATTTTTATCACATTTTATTTTATGCTATATAGTTATGCTAAGCTTTTTGACAAACCATTTTGGTTTCTTAAATTTAATTTTATTACTTTGACATGTCATAAAACTTTTAAAATCTGTATGTGTTATGAGTTTTGCTGAACAAAGGTATGAAGTTTTAACTGTAGATCTAAATCAAATCTGATTAAGTGACTCATCAAAATGAGTATATTGAGGTCATCTATCTTAAGCTAGCTAAATATAAATGTTTTTAGAATTCATTTATAATCAAATACTTTGTTACTCTTATGCTTCTGAAAATAAGCTTACTAAAATGCCTATGTAATAAAAATGCTAAATTATTAAAATTCATAAAATTAATAAATAGCTAAAATGTTATAAAGTTACTAATTACTAAACTGCTAATACAATAAAATTACAAAATTGCTTATATGTAATAAAATGACTAAATATTATTAAATAAGTTACTAAAATTTATTTATTGGCAATTTAAATTCAAGGAAAAAATAACTAGCTTATATTATTATTTACTTATTGAAAATATAGTGTCTTATAATTTTAGACTTTTTCATTTTCAATTTTTAATTTCATTTATATTCATACATATTGTATTATAATTTTAATTCCCAGTTGCTAAATCAGTATTATTACCAGTAATAATATACCAGTAAAAATTACCAGTAAGAACTTAAATTACCAGTAAAAAGAATGAGCAAAATGTTGAATATTTTTTAATGTGAAAACTGTTATTGTTCTTTTATTCTTCAGTTTTTATTTTCCTTTCTGAAATAACTGCCCCAATATTCCATTTGAAACTGTTATTGCATTTATTTATTTGAGAAAGCAGTGAGTTGAGTTAAAAACATTTTTAGGATGCAAAGCAACTTTATACCTAAAGCATTTTCTTTTATATTGTTTGTTTGGATTTTCAGTAGGTATGATCTAAAGGAATTGGTGGACAAAAAACGCATGTCCTCTGAAATTACAATCAAGTCTGCAGAGAGGAGGGACTCTGCCCTTTTTACGTGCCTTGTTAGAAATGCATTTGGTCAAGATGATATGAATATTCGACTTATAGTACAAGGTCAGCTTTTTTATATTATTAAATTTCCTTATTTTTGCAATCACAGTTTAACTTTTGTTTCAAGAAGGTATACAAAATTCTTAGCAAATTTTTAGCACTTGAAAGAAGTATTATTATTTTCAATTCTGATAAAATTGCATTTGACATGAATTGTAAACAAATAAGGTCTTTCATTTATCATTGGCATTATAATTATTACTTTTAAATTAAAGTAATTTGCTCTTCATTTTGCATTAAATTCATTTTGCATCTTGCTCTTAATTCATTTTCATTAATCATTCAGCACATTAAAATATACTGAATCCATGTTCTGATTGTTATCATTGTGTAAATGTCAAATTTTTGAGCAATGCATTAATTTTTTTCTTTTATTGATAATTCACCTCATATGATAATACCTCGTAGTAGTTTTTCAGATACTACCATATTTTCTCGTCCTCCCTTTTTTACTATTTTCATCATGCAGAAATCAAGAGCTAAAAATTATGTGAATAATTTAATTTTCCAGGGACACAGCTGTAGTAAGAGCACAACAAATAGAAAAGTATTCATGAATAAACCACTGATGACTATCACAATATTATTTATTGAAAAGAAACCTACATTGAAATAAAAGTATATAATAATATCAACATTACTATATCTAATAAGATTTTCATTTCTACTTCCCCTGCATCTCAAATCTCACTTTGCTTATTCTTGTCCACTGCTACTGACTAGGCCTCAGATCATTCAATATTGCTGGAATTGTCATGTGTGTCATCTGCTACAGCTTGCAAGTCATTCGCATTGCCATCATTGCTATAGTCTTCTTCAACAATTCATTCCCACATGTAATGATTTTCAGAACCATCAAGTACATTGGCTAACTCTTTTTCTTTTCTTTTTTTTTTTTTTTAATCCTACACATAGCAAAAGTCAAGAGACCAGAGTTTTCTTTCTGACAGCTCAGTACAAAATAATTATTCATGTGGAAGTGCTTGTCATGAAGAGTAGTGCATGATAAAGATGGGTGAAGTCCATATAATTCCCCCTTGAACACAGAGGGCAATCAATAGAATGAGAAATACCGATGTGGTAAAGGTGACCATGCAAAATGTCATGTGAAGTCAGGATTCTGAAATTAGCAGTGGTTACATGTCTAGGGAGGCAACCTGGGGAAAGGTTGAGTCAAAAGTTTTCGCGAGATGTTGCCTGTGGCCTGGAGTTGTCTAATAATTCTTAATTGCAACATTAATTTTATGCCTTATTTTACTATCAAGAGAAGAATAAGAGTAGGGGCAAGATGGCTGATGTCAGGATCAGCCAGCTTTGGCCAGCCAGTCAGCACATTCATATTACAATGGCTTGAGATCCACTGCAGGGTGATAGTCCAACCATTATTTAAGAGTCTATGAAGGATTTTACGAGTTTTAATCACTTTGGCAGTATCATCTTTCTGAAAGGATTCCAAGGTTTTAATTGCAGCCTGTGAGTCAACTAGGAAGAAAAAAAAAAAAAAACTGCCTTAGTGTGAGCTACAATGTTTGAGAGTCTTGAGACAGTTTGGCCAATGGCCTCAATTTCAGTATAAAAAATATTTATTGAAGAACCGACCACAACACAGCCCTCAAAGATGTCTTTGTAGCAGAAGCCTAAACCACAACTACCCCATCCAATCATGATCTATCAGTGTATATATGAAGACAATCTTCAATAGGATAGCGAGTATGGATTGTCTCAAGTGAGCAAGTCAACAGAGCAGCTTCAATAGTGTCAGATTTATTTTGCCTCATACCAATGGAGAGATTTAACTTTGATTGAGGTGGAAGAATAATCTTCATGAATAAGGAAGGACTACATAAAAGAGGCTCTCTAGCAGACTATAAAAGTGAATATTTTTGGCATCTGCAGTGTCCAGAAAAGTATTGGGCTTTTCAACCTTCCCACACTAGGGGCATAAGAAGTCCATTAAGAAAGTGGGACTCTCATACATGTCTCGTACAGCATTAACAGCTGTCGATCTCTCTACAGGTTCAAGATTAGATTGGATCTACATTGCATAGATGGGAGTAGAGTGGGCAGCACCACTCTACTCCCATCTATGCAATCTAGGCCCTTAGGGCAGCGATTGCCCTAAGGGCCTTGTTTTGAACTCGATCAAGGCAATACTGCAGCCAGCTGAGAGAGTGGAGATGAGCTTGCCTCCATAATCCAGAACTGGTCTGTTATAAGTCTTGAACTCAGTGGACAGGAAGGACTTCTTGACCAGAAACCCATGGGATCCCAGTGAGGCATTTAAGCTCTCACTAAGGTCAGTCCCTCTACGGGGATCTCAGTTGGGTGGTTTTCCAAGTTAGAGTCAAGGGTGTCACCCAAATATTTAGCATCGTAAACTCTCTTTAGTTTTGCCTTCATAATTCAGGGAGATATCATGAGATTTGGTGGAGAGGGTAAAAAGTTCAAAAACAGTTTTTTCCAGATTCACCACCATGAGGTTATCACTACACCAATCTTCCAAGGCTGTGAAAGCCTTTTTATTAGACTATCTGCCTTTTGAACGTCATTATGGGTGAAATAAATGACAACATTATCAGTGTAGATGAGAACCCTAATTCCATTTACTCTCTTGAATATGTGCCACCAGTGCATTAATTGTAATATTTAGAGAGTGCAGCTAAGGACTGCACCCTGGGGCAGGCTGTTTCTAAGTTGAGTGCAGCGGGAAAAAGTGTCACATTGCTTAACTCTGGCAATTTTGTGAGCCAAAAAGGACTTGAGCCAGCTTAGCAAATTACCATGGATGCCAATCTTTATCATTTTATGTATAAGCTTTTTTTTTTCAGACTCCATCGCAAGCAGATTTAAAATCAACATTAGATAACTCTGTTTTCGCGAAGCTCTTCACTATTATAGCTTCATCACTCAGACCCACATACATTTAAAATCTGCAAGCAAATCAATTTGTATGATGGAAATAATCATTACGTGAATGAATTAATTTTAAAATTTAGAGCAGCTCACTTTCTGAACACCTTGAAGAAAGGGAGAATTATGTGAATATTAAAAAATTTTCAGAACCTTGTGCTAGAAAAACACTATGTGAGTAAATATAGTATGTTATATGGAATAGTTGTGGAATTCAAGTTTAATAATTAAGTTAGAATATCCTTGTAATTCGAGTTTAACATAGCCTTCGTAATATTTATTTCTTTAAATTATATTTTTTTTAAATTTCAGTCTATTATATGAAAATTAAATATAATTAATTCTTTCTTGATGACTATGTTCTTAAAATTGCTAGTTCCGAAATTTCCAATAAACATTAATATTGAACATCATCTCTCAAATCAGCTTTACAGAAGACCAAGACTGAAACTGTGGGTAATAATTTTACTGAGGGTTAACTATATATTTTGCCATTTTCTTTTATCTGCTTTCCTATAGCATTACTTAATCTGTATTTTTCATGCTTTTGAATTTCTTTCTTTTATGTTTATATTTATTAGTTTTTAATTTTTTTGCAGAGCCGCCTGAGCCTCCACGTGATGTACGTGTACTTGAACACAAAAGTCGCACAGCCAAAATTTCCTGGTCTTCTCCATTCAATGGAAATAGTGCCATTATTAGATATTTAGTACAATGTAAATCAGAATCGGGTAAACATCTGTTTTATTTAGTTTTGCATTCCAATTTAGATTTCTAAATGTTACTGATTAATAAGCCAATTACTGTATTTGTTATGGGGAGGGAAAACATTAACAGTCACATTCTATTGACTCTATCAAATGCTAACTTCCTGAAATGATTTCTTTCAACTGTAGTTCTGAGATTCACTAAAATTTTCTTTCTACACTGAACTAATAATAAAATTCTCAAATGGAACAGGGTTCGTAGCGGTCCTTATAAGTGCTTATAAGTCCTTATATTTGAAAATAAAATATAAAGGCCCTTATAGGTGCTTACTTTTTCTTTAAAGCCCTTATTTTTTTGTTTTTAGTGCTTATTTTTTGCTTTTAGTGCTTTTTTTTTTTTTTTTTAATGAAAGCGCTATTTTTCCCCGTACCAAAGCCGAAACTAAATAAACAATTTTTCTTCCTAATATTTAATGTCAGATGGTGAATCTTACTCCCGGAAATAGCTTTTCTCCTTTTCTCTGCATTAACATAACCTTTGGTGTGCACGAAGAGAACAGACAGGTGCCTGTCGTTCTATTGGTCAATGAATTGCGAAAGCAGTAGAAAATTTCGGTACATTCGGCATTCTTTTCCTCCCACCCAAATATTACGCACGTTTGAATTTCTGTCCAGATCTTAATAATTTGCATTCTCGTTCCGCTTGGTCAGTTCATATTTGTGTTTATTATGATCATTATGCTTATATTATGAGTATATGTATGAATGTTTATAATAACATAGTTGCAGTAACTGCTGAAGTATAGTAAACTTCCAAAAATGGTTGTGTTTTAACACAGATTAGCTTTTTAGGAATAATATTCGGAATGGCTTAAATAAAGGGAAAGTAATCGAATAGTCAAAATAATTTCATTTTTTTGGCCAATACATTATATAGTATGAAGATTGGGAGGTTCTCCCCTTTCTCCGCAAAATTTCGAATATTGAAGCTGTTACAAGTTCGCTGCAAAACAAGCAACGAACTTTTTTTTTTCTTGTGTGTGTGTGTCACTTTCCAATCTGGATTGAATAGGACTAAAAGTTCTGCGGTCTACCAACCAAGCGAAGAATGATTCTATTCCGGAAATTTAACGCTATCTGTTGAAAATTAGAATGAAAAACACCCCAGTTACTCGTATTTAGTTCTTTATTCACCCAATACCGGCAGCTGTTGATTCCGATTGCGTAATATCATGTAGGGAAGAATTACGGCACACGTATTGCGCAATAACATTTGCGATATTTTGCAGAAATAATTAATTTTGATGTTCTGCCCGAGATTGTCAAATACTGTAATAAATCTAAAATGATGTATAAAAGAAATTAAACAAATAATAAAAAAAAAAGAAACAGTTTTTTTTTCACAGATGTTTCAGTGTTTCTCATTCAATTAATTCAGTTCTCACTTCACGACAAGGCAAAATTTACATAAAATTTAACATAGATTTTCCATGGTTGAGGTAATGCTTATTCTCTTAATAAATACTACATTTCTCATATTTTAAATTACAAGTCTAATTTTTAAGGTTGTACAGTTGTGTATAATGTCATTAGACAGGTGCTTATTTTTTTCTTAAAATGTGCTTGAAAAGTGCTTATAGGTGCTTATTTTTTTAACTAAAATGTGGCTATGAACCCTGTGGAAGTTTTTCAAAAAGTTGTGAAATGATAAAAATTAAACTCATATTTTAACATGGGAGGATAAACATTCTGTTCTTCCTTCAAATTAAAATGCAAATTTTTCTGGTATTCTTCCAACAAGAGCTCCACTCTTTTTTGTCAGTGAGGTGCTTGTTCACTCAATAAAGAGAAGTTGTTTGTGAATTCAATAAATGAATAGCAGATTTCTATTCCTGGCATGCTTACAACAAGAGCTCTCCAGAAACTAGAAAAGAGCTAGCATTTTTTCTAGAATCTCAGTAAATTCACTCAGTAAAATGAATTATTTCTTTGAATAGTTTTGGAGAGAAAATTGTCCAACTCGCTGTTTGAAACATGATATGTTTACCCTAAGAAAATCTTACAGCACTCTCATGATTATGCCAGACAAACTAGCATTTAGTGAAGGTAAAAATCCTATTAATGAAAAGATGGTCGTCATTAAAGTGCATTCGATATACACTAGCTGATCATAGGTTTTTTACAATGTGTAGTGGCTGACAACAGAAATAGAAAGCAACGAGAAGAATAGCGATGAAAATGATTAATGTTTTATCATTATTGGAAACATTTTTATGTTTTTCTACTTATTGTTTATTATTATATTTTCAGCAGTTTCTCAGTACTTTCAGACTTGTTTATCTAACAAATGAAATTTAATTCTTAATGCTATTACTTTTTTATTATTTTATTTTTTACCGTGGATATATAGTACCTAATTTTCTTAATGATAAATAGTACTTAATAGATAATACTAATATATAGTACCAATTTTCTTAACAATGTATTTCTAAAGCTATGTTACCTTTCTGTGACATTTGTTTTTATAAACAGCAACAAATGTTTCACAACAATGAGTGTTTTTTCCATTTTGTGCCCAATCTGGGAAAAAAACGCAAGTTGTGAAAAGGGGATAAAGTTTTTGAAATTCTGTGGGGGTTGCCCATGAATAATCAAATATCTTAAATAACACTGCATTACATGAGTTCGATTTATATCAATCTATTAATTTTTTGTTGATGACTTCTGATACCTTTGTGGGGAGTGGGATAGTATTTTTGTTGCTCCTGTAAAATTTGACTTTTGTCACTTTTTACTTCTACTGGTTCAATCGAATTATGGCATTTATTTCAAAGTAATTGTTTTAAATATATTATCAGTGCTTTATATTCTTTAATTAAAAACTAATTAAATTATATGTTATTCAGCTGCCCAATAAAATGTAATTTTTAATTAAAAAAAAGAGGGTCAAACATTTTATTATGGTAATATAAATTTATAAAATCCAGTACGTAAGTATGGACATTTATATCTAATAAAATATAATCCAAAATTTTATATTACAGACCTTTCTATTTAATGGAATAACAAATTAGATTATGTTTATAAGCAATCTGTCAGAAGTGATACTTTACTTAAAGCTCATCTCCATTTAAATCATGAAATTGGCAGGAGGTTGTAACAATTTCAGATAAAAAAAAAAAAAAAAAAAAAAAAAAAAAAAAAAAAAAAACAGATTTAACACATCAGATTAAAAAAAAAAAAAAAAAAAATACAATTCTTTTAAGCAAAATACATTCTTAGATTTTGAAGATTGTATATATTTCACACATTTGTAGAGTAAAATTAATGTATATCTATAGATATAATTTTTTAAAAATATTTTATTCCGTTATCATTTTAAAGGTATTGATTAATTTATTTCAGAAAGTTGTAGAATAAAATTAGAGTTTATCTATAAAAATATAATTTTGAAAACTTTTTTTTCTGTGTGCATATTAAAGGTCTTGATTATCTGTTATAAAATGTTTCATCAACAAAGATAAATGAATTTTTAATTTTTTAGGTGATTGGGATTCGGGGATACAAAATATCACTACAGGGAGTGAAGAATCTAGTATTACTCTTCGTGGACTTCGTCCTGCAAGAACCTATTATTGTAGGGTTAGAGCAGAAAATTCTGTTGGTCTTGGGGATCCTAGTGAAGCTGTCACTGTTGTTACTGCAGAAGAAGGTAACTTTTTTATTTGTGATAATTATTTTTTTTAATTGAAAAAGGGTAATTCACATTAAATGCTTAAAAATTGTCTATTTTATAAACTGCAGAGAATGTGTAACCTATTTTGACTATATTTATGTAGTTAAGTTCATTAAAATGGAATGCAGTAAATATTTAAATGTAACTTTATCATTGCTACCAAAATTCAAAATTTAGTTTCCAAAGCAAGATAATGTGATATTAACACTTTCAAAATTTATTTGCCAACCAAAATACATTTTTAATCATTTGATTAACTATTAATTTCATCCAATTACACAAAACGCTGCCTTGAAATATTAATTAATTAAGTGATGCCTGAGTAATATATTTATAAATATTTTTCTTCCCCAACATGTGAGTTTAGAATTTGGATTTATAAATTTTTGCAAAATGTAAGCAATTGATTGTTAAAAATGATAAAAAGTAATAATCCTTAAATGAATATAGCATAACAGTAATCTCAAAGGTTCACATTACCAAATCATAAAGATTTCATTTAAATAAATTATTCCTCGCATCAAAGAAATTCATTAAAATATCATATCAAATTGCTTCACAATATCAGAAAATTTTACAATTATCTTTTATTCCAACTGAAAATATGAACAGGAGGGAAACATGTAAGGGAATTAGAAGTACTCTTAACAGTTAAATGAAATTCAGCATGGTATTAAGTATTGCAAAAAATGTTTGAAAGTATTTAAATAGCATTAAATTTAATTAGGTTTATCTGACTTTAAATTTTTCTTTTTGTGTAATTTAATTAAAAAGTAACTCATGTTTTGATGTTCTCTTATTAAAGTGCAAATGGATTATGCCACAAGAATTAGCAATTTTAGAATAAAATTGTCATTTATTGTTTTTTTAATCCAGTTAAAATATTTGGGCAGCATAATTGATCTTCTCTACAGCTGTTATGTAAAACTGCTATTAGATTCAAGCAGAACTTGCTGAGAAATTCTGTGAGCCAGAATATTTCTTGAAATTTTGAAACAACCATCTCCAATAGTTAGTTTGAGTCATATGTTATTCTCTAAAAGCAGTGTTTGGGTCGTGAAGAGAAATATTTTGGCTGGAAATCTAGCCTTCAAACTGATTCAGCAAGTGTATTCTTAGGTGAAACTGCTTATCACCTTAATATTCCATACCCTGATTGAGCTTCAGGTACTTCGCTGCTATAAAATTGCATAAATTGTTTGGGTTGTTATATTTATGCTTCTAATTGTGCTCCATCAAATTTTTTATTTTTTATTCACTGTCTAAAGATTTTTTGAAAATGTTTCTTTTCATATGAAATAGAGAATTTTTTATATTTTTCAAAGAAATTGACTGTGACATTTTATTAACTATTTTTAGTTCCTGGAGGACCTCCTTTAGAAGTAAAAGCAGAAGCAGTTGATTCACAATCTGTTAGAGTTACCTGGAGGGTAAGATATATATTTGCTAATGTAGTTGCACTTATTTCCGTCATTTGAAAATTAATTATTATGTGTGTTTGTGTGTGTGCTTGCAGTCTAAAAGTTTTCTCTAGTACTTATAAACTAAATAAAATAGATAATAATGCTGAAAACATGAAAAATTCAAACTTAAAAAAGCATGAACATTTTTTAAGCTTTTTAATTATTTAAAAATTATTCTTTATTTATTTATTATTATTATTTTTTAAGTTTCAGACATTTGATATGATCTGTTAGTGAAATGCAAAGCACTCAATGGATAATCCAAGTACTGCCATAATACTGCACGATACTTGAAACAATGTTTTTTATGCAAATATAATTCTTGCATTATCATCCGATTTCTGCACACTTTATTTTTGATGAAAAATTCTTAAATCTTAATAAAAGATGAGATTTTTGGTGTTTTAGTCAGTCAGTTAATGTGCTTGTTTATTCTATATACAATGTCTGAATAGACAAGCATGCTATGCTTGGTAATAGATGTCACAGATGGTTAACTATAATCTCATGTGATCATATGATATGCTACTGTAAATGAATTTTGGTTTCCTTCTAATGTGTGCTACTATGTAAAATAGATTTTCTGTTAGTGTTACATACATTTGTTTATTTTATTATACTTCCATAAATATGTAAAATATTATCAGAAAGTGCAACTGTTGTGAAAATATTCTTCTGTAGTTTTGTCACGTTATAAGGTATTTTGCCTGTCCTTTTCGCATGCCTTTGTGGTGTAACTGGAAGCACATTCAATGTGTATTTGGGATGTCTGGAGTTCGAATCCCAGTCAGGGCTGTAAGATTCCTAAGTGTTTTAATTTATAGCTAAAATTGAGGAATATCTTAGGAACTGATAAGCGAATAATCACTTGAGTTCATGAGATAGCAAAACATAAGAAGGGTGAAATTACCCTTTATTATTCCAATAAATTTTAACAGATGACTTCTTTCTTGGAGTTACAATAAAGCCTCCACTTGGGCTTAGGAATTTAAGAACTAAAACTTAACTTATTTTAAATAAAAAGATATAGCCGAAGCTATCAAGATTCTAACATAGTTGGCCTCTTATGCTAATTAACAACGAAGCTAGCAAGGACCTAAAGTACGGCCCAGCGTAGTAGTAGCTTAAGAGAGAGAGTAGCCTGAAAAGGTGAACACGTGCTAGTCAGAATCACTGGCTGTCTAACGAAGTGAGTAGAACTTTACAGTTAAACACTCCTCCTCATTTGAATTCAAACGCAATTCTAAAAATACGTTCTGGTTGGAAGTTGTAAGCTTGAAATTAAGAAGAGATAGGAAAGTAACTTTTACTCAAAATTTAACTGTTGGATAAATTAACATAATCCTTACAGGGGCAATAAGTGCATTTCTTCAATTTCCTGACTTCAAAAAATTCTAAAAGACTCTGCAGTGTCGTTTCTTTTTAAATATTGCATCAGTAAAGGGCAAAAATGTTGTCAATATATTTTCTTTATAAGTTTTTTTTTTGATAATTATTAAAAATAGTTTATTTTTACATATTGAATTTATATCTCACCTTAAAAGAATTACATAGGAGCTTCCATAAAAATATTTATTACTGTTTGCAAACATGCTCACTGATTTAACACTGATGCTGTGTAAAACTGCTATTAATCATATACTGCAAGCAAAGTGAAATGGTATTACGAATTCTGGTTTTCCGTTACATTGTTTCATAGCATTTGCTACCAACAGTGTTTGGGATTAGAATAACAGGAATAAAGATATTTCTATCTATCATGAACATATCATTTGAGGCTGTATTTCCTTCTTGAGATGTATGTAAATGTATGTAAAACTGATATGTGAACTGAAGATGTATGTAAAACTGATATGTGAACTGAATTCTAAGTGTTCTATCTTCATCGAGGAATGTACAAAATTTAACAAATTCTTTTCAAATTTTTCTGAAAATGAGTTTTTTAGCCATTAAGCTTTTACTGAGTAACTTTATGCATTCTAATGCGAATGAAAAGACTTGGTCCAGTTTAATATCGTTTGGATAATACCTCAAGTGAAAAATAATTGAAACTGAAATTCTTCCATCTATGAAAAGCAATCTATAATATTTACTTACAATTAGAAACAGAAATAAAAGGCATGCATTTTAAAAATGAAATGAATTGGTACACTAAAACATGTTTAAACATTAATATGTTAGGGGCTTTCATTGATCGCCCATCTGCATCTTCAGCTGGAACTGGATTGAATGACTCCATCAAATTCCTCTTCTTATGTTATTGTTTTCTGCAGGGTTGCTTGTCATAAGGTTGTTGTATTTCTGAGGATTTATGTCTCTATCTATGGTAGATGAAAAGATCAGTCTTTCTTACGTTATAATTTAGTGACAATTTCTAATGCTTCTCTAATTTTAAGGCTGCTTTAATACTATCCTTTAATGATGATTTTGGCTGTGTCCTATTCAGTTATAGAGTTTGCGTGCTTCAAGAAGTATTTAACCAAAGATGTGCCTTTTTTATTGCGGTGCTCGCAGACAAAGAATTTTCAAATGTCTTTCTTAATTTCAGCAGTCTTCATTGATAATTTATTATCTGTCAAACCAGTATATTGAATTTCTGATTTGTATTGTATAAGTGCAAAAGTTCTACCCATTTTCATTACCCATAAAGAAGAGCAAATAAATGCAAAATGAACAGCACCTATTATTGTGCATAATCCCCATTGTTATCTATGACCTCTTGACATCTTTCTGGTAGGAGATGAATTCCACAGTGGTATAATTCTGCAGTTTTCATTTGAAAAAGTTTTGAATGGCATTTTTTACAGAATCAAGATCATCAAAGATTTTTCTGACTGAAAGAATTGTTCAATGCATGAAATAGGTGATAGTCAGTTGGTGCCAAGTCAGGAGAATAGGGAGGATGGAGTAAAACTCCCCAACCAAGAAACCTTTTACTAAACAAGTGATGATAGCAGCATGTGGTCTGGCGCTATCATGATGAAGGATAACACCACGACGATTAATGAGACCTGGCCGCTTTGCTACCAAATTTGAATACAGCCTGTCTAACTGTAGATAGTAGAACACATCAGTGATGGTTTGGTTGAGTGGCAGAACCTCCCAGTGAGAACCTCCCAGAGGTAAAAACTATGCCCAATAGAGAAAGTGGGAAAAATATGTAAATATTTTTAAAATCTTCAGAATCTTGTGCTAAAGCGCTAGGGGAGGAAATGTGAGGAAATGCAGCATTTTACCTGTTACATTTTTAGATTTATATTTAAACAATGTTCTGAAAGAAAAAAGAATCAAAACTATAAAATGGCTTTCATTCTTGCTTCTTTTTTCTTTCTGTGAATAAGTTCTTGTCTTATATATTCTTATGTAGCCTCCAGATATAGAGTTATGGAATGGTCCCATTAAAGGGTACTATGTTGGTTACAAAGTATATGATTCCAAAGACTCCTACCTATACAAAACTTTGGAAGTTGGACAAGGTACAAGAGAAGAAGTGTTACTAACCCAGTTACAGAAATATACAAGTTACAGTGTGTTAGTACAAGCATACAACTCAATGGGTGCAGGACCTCGATCTGATGAGGTCATAGTTCGAACCCTTGAAGATGGTAGGTATCAACATTGTTTCTACATCTGAGTTCTTTATCAAATGTTTTACAAGCTAAATATATGAAACTGATGTACAGAAAAGAATTTATAGAATTTAAAATACTTGCTTATTTTAACTTCATAATTGTTATGAAATCAAGCATAAAATATTCAATTTCTGTGAATATATCCAAATACAGTTGTAAATGAAGTATATATAGATATATGTATTCATACTTATTAGCTATCATTCATACAATTTGATAGGTACATGAGTTTAGTCTGATAAGGTAAGAAGATGAGCGAGATGAAGCTTGAAGATGAGCGAGAGATATGGAAAATTGTAATTCTTAGGTTTGTGTCAGCCAACTCAAGTGATCTTTCAAACCTGGTCGCTCTATGTTAGGCAGAAAGGTCGAGTTAGTGTAGGTTTCTTGGAGCAAAGTTCTGATAGTGTAAACGGGTCTTTAGATACACATGAGTCACTGAGCAAGAATCTGTGCAGTATTTTTTTAAACATTTCTGAAGGCAACAAACAAAACAAAACAAAACAAAAAGTTTTTTCAATCTAAACATTCAGTTATGTTTTGAGAAATAAATGATCCATTTCAGTCTGCCAAATGTCATTTAGTCTCTTCTTGTGCCAAACACCTAAACTTTGCATGCATTTGCTATGTCAGTAATCATACTCGGTGATTTACACAATTCCATCAATAAAATGCTATGTTGTAGCTTGCAAGCAAACTAAATTTATCTGCTATAAGTATTTTTATAGATGCAAGTGAATGTGTTAAAAAGTTCTTAGTATTTAAAAAGCTTGCTTATTTTGAATCATTTTGAAGCAATTTGGCTTGTATTTAGCATCATAATCAAGCATAAAATTTTAAATTTCTATAAATATGTCATGTGAAATGCCTAATAACAAATTTCAGTCAAAGTAAAGCTGCAATTAAAAAATAAAAATAATAATAATACCCCCCCCCCAGGATGTCTAACTAAGTACTATATAGAAGTGGCAAGGAAAAGAACTGCTTTTAACAACAAACACATAGCATTATTCATACACAATTGCATGTTTGTAAGTTTTACATACCATTCACTAGAGCAGTGGTCTCATACTAGCAGTCTGCAAATATATTTTAGTTGTGTATTTATTGTAAAAAGTGTGCAGAGGGATAATGTTATTGAAACAATAACCAAAACAGTAAAAACGCAGACACGCTCTGGATCATTTAGTTTGTTGCATATTTCAAGAAATTTAAAGAGAGTACAGAGAAATTACCTAGTATAATGAAGGGAGGTACTTATGTTGAGCTGTATTAAAAGTTAATTCAATAAATGAAATAAAAGTTTTCTTTATGCAAAAATAAATAATAAAACCACTGAAAAGCAAAGCTGCATAATGATAAGAGATATAATATTTCTTGTTGACTTAAAATGTATTTTAATGATTTGTAGTCCAATTTTACTTTTTTTTTTCATTATCATTAAAATGAACATGAACAGGGCATTGGAAAATCTTTATAATTAATAGATATAAGTAATTCACCAGTGTAATATAAATCTTATTCAAGGATTCGAAATAACAGATCTGATTAACTTTTATTCATATTTGCCAAAATATAAATGGCTTCAATTATGAATTTTTCAATAAGCATAATTGTTTTGTGTGGGAATACATTTATGTGTGAACAGTGTTTTTTCAGTTGAAAATTGGTAAGTCTGAGGAAAGAACCTGATTGACTGATGAGCATTTATCATCAATGATACAGGTAGTTTCTAGTGATTTTTATCCAAAGCTATGAAGTGTATCAGAATCAAAATCCCATCAACTGTAGAGTTGTTAGAAGAAATAAAAAAGTTTATAATTGTTACATAAAAATATATATATTCTTTTATGCATGTGGCAAAGACAAATTTAATAAATAAACAGAAAAATTATTATCATTATTTATTCTCACATTTTATCCTACTTTGAAGTTTTTCTGGAAATCTGGAAAGTTTTCATAAAATGTGTTTACTTTTTAGTTTAAGAAAGTTATTTAGTGGTTAATCCAGGGTATTAGAATTATTTGAAATAAATATCAGTTTTAAAATTCAATATTTAGCTGTCAATGCATTTGAATTATAAAGTATAACCAAAAGAAATTTCTTGCAGACACCAAAATTTAGATTTCAAATGGAAAGTAAATAGAAATTTGACTTTGTCCCATTGCATTATTATTATTTATGTACGTTTTGATACATATTTGGTAAGCGATTAGGTGTCTAAATGAAATAGAAAAGAAAATTAACTGAAAGATGGATGTCATGTTAGCCAGCAATAAAGATTGAGAAAAACATAAATTTGAGAAATAAACAGTAAGTATAGAGATAAACATTGTAGAAAATAAAATTGAATATTATTGAAATAAATTTTCAATTAAACTGTGTTCAAGACAAATTATATCTTAAAAATATGATTTTCAAATATATTATAAGCTTACCTGCACACATCACGCATAACTTCAGTTTACAAAGAGGTGATATCTATACGTTAAGAGTATATACAGCCTAATATATATATCTTATGTATGCATGTGTGCATATGTGCTCACTCATAGGCTCACACACATATAAATTCACTCTCATTTCATTTTGTTAAAACGAAAAAAAAAAGATGGGCATTAGTTTTCAGAGCTTTTAACCTGAGAGTTTAATAAGGTGACAGATACTATATCTAGTCATATTATTTAAAGTGCTCTGATCAAGAAATTTTCACTCATGGTTCATGTATTAATTCATTGCATGATTGAATGAGATGGAGTATTTTTATATTAGATTAAATGAGTATCTGACAGTTATATGAAATATATTTATTAAACATTTTAAATGAATAAAAATATGCTTAATCTGTTAAAACATTTCTATCAAAATTTAGAAACAAATATTTTATTTCTCTGTGAGTGTATCATTTATAGAATTAGTTAAAGAATTCTTTATAAATAAATTATTTAACATGTTTTTCAGTTATAAAATAGCATGTTATTAGCCTTGTTCTGTGGATTATGTAAAGTAGTATGAAAAATTGTATATTATTTTTATGTATATGATATGCTCATTGTAAATTTAAAATTCTGTGTTAAGTTATAATATTTGTTAAACTGTATTTTTATGTTTATAGTTCCTGGTCAGGCACCAAGAGACATAAAATGTATGTCTCCAACATCTCAAAGCTTACACATATCGTGGAGTGCTCCCCCATCCTCCTCTATCCATGGAATCCTTCAAGGATATAAAATTCTTTTTCGGCCAGCAGAAACACTTGCAGGTGTTTATTTTCCTGTGATTCTTGGGCACCATGGATTATAGCTTAAGTTATTAAAAATTAATTTAATTTAGTTCAGTTCTACGAAATAAGATTACTTTTCAGCTTGTGTGCTGGTGGAAAATGATGATCTAGATTGATAGTCCGAAGAAAGATATTTAAGATATTTTGGGTGTGTGATTTAACTTGTGAGTAATGTGACTACAATCTTGTTTCCATTAGGAAATTTTGCCTGAAAGCATTCCTCTCCTTAGGCTGATAGTTCTTGTGTAGTGATATATTATAATAAATGCATTCAACTATACTGAATCTAAAAAATGTGTTTTTAACAGTTATAGTATCCTTTTTTTAATTGAACTATTCCTACAATTGTATTAGTAAAATGCTTAAAGATACTTTTCTTTGAAATTCTGTTTTCATGACTTAAAAGATACGTTACTACAGCATCATATATTTATAAATTGATTATTTGTTTCTTAAATTTTATTCATAAAATAAAAAATAAAAAAACATATAAAACAGTATTGGATGAGCATTCTGTATTGTCAAAATCTGAAATTCAGTTTAAACACGTTATAAATTACAAGAATGATTTTTTAAAAATAAGGTGTTTAATTTATTGCACTTTGCAAGTTTATTAGTGCTAGTAAATTCTTCTTCTGATGTAATAACCAATCGCAGATCATAGAATCACAAAATAATTGTTTAGATAATTGCCTGATCTCAGAATACATGTAGAGATATATCAGTTCTTATAACATTTAGCTGTAACTTTGAAATAAAGCATTGTTAATACTTAGTTGACATTATTTTAAAATAAGGAATATTGGTAAAGTTTTGTCTAGAATATTGAGGAGGTTTTTAACAATTCTTTATATATTTAACTTAAGCTAGGTTTGTGTAGCCCTCATTAAACCTTTAAGTATTTTAGAAGTGATCCTTGGACCTGTAAAAGTGCTTAATTTAAGCCAAAATTTTCAGTAAGTCCTTAATTCATTTGACTTTTCCATCTTTTTTTCTGTGATTGCCATTCAGAGTGTGAATTAATGTCTTAGATAAATATGAAGTCAAACTATGTGGCTGGTAATGGAGCCATCACAATTTGGTGCTTTGAACAACAGGAAACAATCAGCCATTCTGGAACAAAAGTTTCAGGATTCCTGATTAGCTATTAAAATTGCAAAATTTGTTTTAATTGTGGTTATAATAGTGCTTTTGTAAGAGGCATGTTTAAAAAATGAAATATTTTTTAATAATGACTATGTAAATAATCTTTAAAATATGTGTGACTATTATAAGAATAAAATATAAATGTTCAAGAAATTTCCTAATTTAATGTTATAATTACTTCATACTTTATAAGAAATGAATTTTTTTCTCAATTTGTTAAATACTACATTGTGTTTAATAATAATGTATCCAAAATACAGTTCTGTTTTATTATTTGAATGATATTACAAGAGCCAAATTGGTTACATAGTTGCTTTAATTTATTCAACTGTTGATCCCCACTTTTTCTCATTCGAATACCTTTAAATGTTCTTAATTTCCATGTGCAAAAAAGTGGAACTCATGGATGATTGAAATCCATGAAATTCAAAACCTGGAAGAGACTAGAAATTATTTTACTTTTGCTTCTGATGAAAATCATTGTTGAACTGTAGTAATTCAGCTATCATTTCATGTCTGTAAATTAATTAAACTTCAGAAGTATGTCCCATATTTATACTTTGTTGAGCACAGAAATACATTTTTAAGTATTCCCCATTTTAAAGCTATAATTATCTGTACTAGAAATACAGTCTTCTGGCTTCGGTTAAAAAAGTGCTGATAATTATTTCAAATAGGAAAACAAAATACATTGACTGGAACAGTGCTTCTATCCCAAAAGAAAAAAAAAAAAAAAAAAAAAAAAAAAAAAAAAAAAAAAAAAACACTTTTTAATCTCATTAAAAAGTAAATGTTTTAGTATAATAAAGGAGTTTTTTTTTTTTTTTTTTAAATCTTTTATCACATGCAGTTTTAATAAAATCGAGCTCGGCATTTTGTATAATATCTTGAAGCTTTGTCTTGAAGCTTTGAACCGAATAGTTCAAATTTCATCATCTGTTTTGTATATCTTATTTTAGGAGATGAAGAATATGAAGAAAGGACGGTTTCAGATCAAGAGATCAAGTTAACAAATTTACATAAATTTACTAATTATACTGTGATAATCATGGCTTTTACTCAAAAGGGTTTTGGAGTTCGAAGTGATCCCATTTTTTGTTCCACACTTGAAGATGGTAAGGCTTAGTTTCTTCAAAAAAAAAAATAACTTAAAAAAATTTTCAGCCATTAAAAAAAAAAAAAAAAAAAAAAAAAAAAAAAAAAAAAACTATAATTTGTTTATAAACATTTTTATTAACAAATGTTTATGAAAAATTCATTTATAATAATGTTTTTTAAACATTCATAATAATGTTTTCATTTTTCATTCATAATAATATTTTTTTTCTGCATTTAAAGTGAAGTTGAAAATATATATGTATAAAAGAAAGAGTCCGTTTGTGTGTGTTTTTCGTTCATGCTGCACGTAAACTAATAGACCTAGGGCTATGAAATTTGGTATATAGGTGCGATTTTTTTCAAAATTCAAATGAGATTTTTTTTTTAATTTTATGTTTTTTTGATGAAATTGCATCAAATCAATAATTCTCTCTCATTATATAAACACTGCTGCCACTCGGAAAAATAAGGGCAATAATTCTGTGCAGTTTTTAAATTTAATGTCTCTCTTGGATACTGGACATTTGTCCAGAGAATGCAATGGGAAGTTGGTTATTTATTTATTAGGATAATTAACTTTTGTATTAAAGAATATTGCTTATTTCATTGTAATTTTTTTATGTGTAATACCTTTTTATTGAAATTTGTGGGTTTCTTTTGGGGGGGGGAGATAAAGTTGTTCTGCAGAGTAAAATTCTGTGCGTTATTTGAATTTAATGTTTGGTGTTTTCCCATTCCAGTACATTTAAAAGCCAGATGAAGGCTGGACGCTTAGCAGCTAGTCTAGAATATATATTTTTTGCTATTGTGATAAAACAGTTGAATATTGTAAATTGTGTCTGCTATTCTAATTTTAAGTGAATATATAAAATTACTTTTAAGGATGTTTGTCTATCAAGATTTTGCAGTTTTATTCCAAAGATCCATTTCGTTATGGCATCTACTAATTAAGATTCAAAAGCTACTTTAGTCACAAAATTGTAGTACCATTGTAAGGCATAAGTTTGATGACATATGTTCTTGGTTATCTGATACCATAATCTTAACTGCAGGTTCCCCAGCTTTTATATATTTTGGGGTGCTAGTGATGTGCCATGAACTCTAATGTAAACCAGAAATGTTTGTTTAAATTCATACTATTGAAATTAGACATCATGATGTTGAATGAAATTCACTGTTATGTTCCTTGAGCCATTTCTTAATAATCCTGGATCTTACTGTTGTAACTGATTTTTTATGGTTTAAAAAAAAATTGCATAAATAAATAATCCACATGCTTTGGAAGACCTGAAAATGAATATCATTGCTGTCATCTGGATTATAAACAAGGCAAGTTTATAAGGCTTTTATTATAACAAGTTCATAAGGCTGTTAAAAACATAATGAAATGTGTAGATAATATGCATTAAACTGGAGAAATGCAGTGTATATTATGATAAGTCTGCTTTTAAACTGCACACTTTGTATAATGTAATATAATTATGACGTGTGACTACTCAGGCTATAGAAGCACTCATTTCTTTAGTTCAGTAGTTTAGGGTTAGTCATAATGAAATTACTCTATGGTGTATGATATATGAATGATTTAAAAAACTTCTTTGTTTCTACAGTTCCCGGGCCGCCTGCCGATATCAAAGCTGTTGTTATGTCTTCAGATACTATTCTTGTTAGCTGGAAGCCTCCTTTACATTCAAATGGTTTAATTACTAAGTTTACATTATACTGGCGTAGCTTAGCCGGTGGTGCCAAGGTAAGTACCTCATTTGATCTAATATTGTTGTATCAGTCTAAAGATCTTTCTTAGAATTTTTCTTTCAAAAGTTGATATCAGGTCTTTCTCTGGTCTGTTAAGTATCCAACAATCACTTCCATAAAGGGCAACAGGCCTTATTAAAGTTTAATATACGTTTAATTTAGTTTTTATGTTGATTAGTTTGGATTTGTTATTTAAGGCCATAAAACAGCTATTAGCCATAAATATTCTATTTGCAACTTGTGATCAGTATGTCCAGACATTTAAATTGCTTTATGGTTTCAAAGGTATAACTGTTTATCTTCAAGGGGGATAAATCAACAGTTTTATTAGATGCAATCATAAATTTAGTTTTGTCTTCATTAATGATTAGGCCCATCTTTCTTGCTGCATTTTAAAGTGAGACAAATGCCTTGACCACATCTTGTTCTGATCGTCCAATGATATCAATATCATTATCAAAACCAGCATTTGAATGGTTCTGTGCAAGATGCTTCCACTTGTGTTTATTCCAGAGTCTCTTAGGGCCTTTTCTAGAGCTATATTAAACAACAGGCAAGATAGTGGGTCTCCCTGTCTTAATCCTTTCTCAGTATAAAAAGGTTCTGAAAAATATGTTAAAATTTTTATTCTACATATTACTTTCTTAAGAGTCATCCTTGTGAGGCTCATCAGTTTCTTCAGGATATTAAATTCCAACATCTCTCCAAGTAGTTTTTCTCTGTTAATACTATCATAGGCAGCTTTAAAATCAACAAACAGTTGGTAGGTGTCAATGTTATATTCTTTAGTTCTTTCCAAGATTTGCCTGATAGAATGCAATTGATCAGTTGTTGTTTTCCCTTCTGGAATCCATACTGGTAATTCCCAAATAACATTAGAAGTATGTGTAAGCAATTGTTTGTACAAGATAATGGAAAAAATTATATGCTGGATTCAGTAATTCCTCTGTATTACAACATTCTAGCTTGTCTCCTTTTTTAAAAATAGGACAAACAGATCCTTTTCACCCCACTCAGTGGGCATTTATTCCTGCGTTCATGTACAACGAATTAGATAATGGATTGCTTTATTTAAATTTGTTTCATTGATATTTAAAAGCTCCAATATGATGTCATCTGGTCCAGCTAATTTATTATTATTTAATGATCTGATAGCTAGTTCGACATCATATAGAGTTGGTGGATTGTGCTCCATAACCTCACTTTCACAACTCATAGTTGGTAGCATGTTGTATTATTTTGAATTACTCACTAATAACTATGAGTAATTATTTTATTCATAGCAGTATAAAAACACTAAAAATAAATAGTAAAAATATTGATGAAATTACCTACAATTTTTACTTTACTTCTGAGTATAAAAATAATATGCAGTTTTTCTGCTTGCATGATATAGATTGTAGGAAAATTTTATCAATAGTAGTAAAGCAAAGACCTTATAACTTTTGTAAAGAATATCCTATGTTTTGCAAAAGACCTAAAGAATGCAGTTTTTCTGCTTGCATGATATAGATTGTAGGAAAATTTTATCAATAGTAGTAAAGCAAAGACCTTATAACTTTTGTAAAGAATATCCTATGTTTTGCAAAAGACCTAAAGAATGCAAAACCATTATTCAAAGGACATAATTTGGAGAGCATTTATATTCCAACAAAACCGATAAGGATCAAAATTTGATTCCATAAAGGATGAATCAGCTGTAACCTTATGCTCATGTGATTCACTGATTCCTCTTTCCCTGAATAGCGAAAATTTCAAAATTTTCATCATGGCTCTAGTGATGAATAAAGCTTTGTCTGACAACTCATTTAAATAATTTGAATGGAATCATAGAAACTATTTATGACCTTTAGTTCAATGGTCACTAACACTATATTGTATGACAAAATATGTTTATTGTGGCATTCTGTTAGAATTAGGTTCACCTCTATGTTGCAAAGTCTTTGTGTAGAACGTAAAGAACAGTGGCATGGATGATTTTAAGGATTAGTATTTTTTTTCTTTAAATGTGCAGAAAATCTGGAAGAATTATGAAAAACACAAAAAAGTTTCAATCAACAATATCCATGCAATTTGTTTTATCTAATTTTCAAACCTTTGGAAATCCCAAACTGACCGAAAAATTTAAGTAGTTTAGCCAAAATAAGGAAAGTCGGGGAATTTCATATGGTGAACCCCAAAAAAGGGATTTTTGCACTATTGTTGGAAGTGGACCACTTTCTTGGCAAATTATGTATTGCATGTGTGTCATTCCATCAGCTGGTGTAGAGCCAACCAGATTGTCTTTCCAAAAAACAAAGCAAGTTTCCAGCATATTTCCAGCATATTTGGTTTCCACTGACCTTCAGCGTTCAGAGAGCATGGCTCTTATTTTCTTACAAAGAACAAGGAATCCGAGTATGTTGAACAAAAGAAAATTCTACCTTTTGGTTTAGATTCTTTTTTTCCTGTTGTTATCTCCAGTTAAAAAAAGTCTGTTTAGTGAAACATTGTAATCTTTTGCACATAATTAAATAGGTTTCTTAAATGTATCATTACTTAACATTTTATTTTATTTGCTTTTAAAATGATAAGAATTTATTCAATGTATTTTTAAAGTTAAAAGAAATCTGTTGATGCAGTTTGAATCAAATTGTTGTGCATCATTAAAAAATCAGACTGAAGTGTTAAGCTTCTCAAAATTGTTGGCAGCATGGATATATCATGATTATTGGACTTGAAATTATGCAAGAAATGAGAGTACAAGAAAGTGTAAGACTAATTATTATAAACAAAACTTATAGTTGAAGCCAAATATTTTTTTTACAGAAATAATCTTCATAATATTCCCTATATAAAATCATCTGTTAAGTATAAAATATCTTTGGTAGTTATATTTTTATATCTATTTATTTTGACCTTTGCTTCAACATAACACCAGTGGCTTATGGGTTAAAAGTGATAGTTTTTCATTAATTTTTCTTTATTTACAATAGATGTCAATAATATATTGGGAGTTGAATACTTTCAAATTAATGATGTACAACTATGAACAGTCTTAATTTAAGTAAATTTTTAATAGGAAACTTTTTTCATCCCCTGATTTATAGAATGAATCTGTTATTCGTGTTCCATCCAACCAGTATCAGTACAAAGTGTCAGGACTACCAGATCGCTCACGCCATGAGTTTTGGGTTACTGCGTCAACAGCCAGAGGAGAAGGTGAACCTACAAGAGTTGTGTCACAAACAACAAGTAGCAGAGGTTGGTACTAAACTAAAACTAAAACATGAATTATGATATAAAAGTTAGTTAATGTTATTGTTAAGTACAGTTTATTGATATTACCAAGAAATATTTCTGAAGGAGAGAAATTTATTATCTATCAGTTAATATGATAAAAAAGTGAATACTTTTATAAAATTTAATTTATATCACGTGCTGATGTACTAGAATTTACTGCTTGAAACCTTTTTTATTATTAAAACTGTAAATAATTTCTTCTGAAAAACTTGTATGGTAGAAGGAAAAGAATAAAATTAAAAAAAGGAAAAGTAATAAGGTTATGAGTTATGCTTAAAGTTAAGAAATAATTGCAGATTTCCTAAATTTAATTTTCTTTGTATAAAGGTCATTCAAATAAAAATAGACAATGTTCTGTGGGGCCTGAATATTTGATCCTATGGATGGTAGATGTAATAATGTACTTACTGAAATCAACAAATGCAGCATGCCACATGATCAGTTGACATCAGGCTTCACTGTAGTGAAGGCAATTACTTTCCTACAGCAGTGTGTCTTGATACATTTAGGCATGTTTAGTAGATTTCTGTATTAGGAAAGCAATATTTTGGTTCATGTAAAAGTTTATAGTAATGCCTGTTTGTAATGCTGGGCAGTGTTTAAATGATGAGCAGAGTTTCAGGATGGAAGGGAATGTATAGAGAGTTGCCAATGACTATGCTAGGAAACTTGAGGTACAGGAAATGTGTGCTAAAATAAAAATGTTTGCATATGGCATAGCTGAAAATTCTCCCTGTTCTACCAAGAGTTCTCCTGGGAAATATCACAGAAGCTTCTAATTTAAAAATTTTTAGCCCTTTTATAGTAAAAATGTTTCCAGCAATAAATGAAATTTTAATTGTGCTAATTTCATTCCTCCACACCTAGTGATTTTCAGCTTTTTTTTTTTCCGTTATTAATTTTTATTTGATCTGTTTTGTCTTAATCTGTGGTAGACATCTGTAGAACTTCACAGGGAGAACTGGCTAAATTCATTCCTCCACACCTAGTGATTTTCAGCATTTTTTTGTGGTTATTAATTTCTATTTGATCTGCTTTGTCTTAATCTGTGGTAGACAGCTGTAGAACTTCCTATTTTTTTGTTTTCATTACCATATGACTATTAGCTCATTGTAGTTCAAGAGATGATTCACACAGCAATGTCTAAGTCAAATTTTTGTTTTTAAATATCAGTAACCGAATAAAAAACAGCATGGCAACCTTTTATACTCATTATGCTTGTGAACAATTGCAGTCTTAAGCCAACTGCGTTGCATAGTGTTAAGTGTGTTGACAAGAAAAAATTTCTAAAAGTAGATTTCATAAATGATATTCATTGGCCATTTAGTGCTAAGAGTAATTAAGAATAACTGATTTGTTTTTCCCATAAGGATACTTTTCATGGCAGATGCTCTATTGGCCATCACCTGCCACATGGTGTGTGTGTGTTTGCTTTCTGTAAAATATTTTTACGATTAGAAATTATTTATGATAGAAAAAAACCTGCCAAAATATATTTCAGAGGCATAATGGAAAAGTACCATTTTAAATATGTGTCATTGGGACTCAGATAAGCCTTAAGCATATGTGGTAAATAGACGTAAGTATAACAAATAACAAAACTAATATAATTCAGACTAATTTTCTCAGTGTATGATAAGAGCAAAGCAGATTTTAGTGGAAAGCATGTCTTTAGTCGGTAGTGTCATCATACATCACCAGTAGTGCAGTAGTGTACAGGGGATGCTTGCTAAGTACTGTACAGGGAATGCTTTGGGAAGAAATGTGGAGTAGTGGTAATAAATGAAGACGATGTAACAAAAGTTTGCCAATACTATACTCATGGACCAATAATTAACCAACTAACAGGAGGTGTGAAATCTATAGTACCAAACTCAGAAAATTTCACTACTCATAGGAAGAAAGTGATTGGAGAGATTGCAGAGAATGAAAAATTTTGATTGACAATTTAGTGGTAATTACCAGACTTTATAACTGACAAAGAAATTATGGCTATTTATGAAATTAAAGAAAAAGTATTAGCACAAAAGCAAAGCTTCTTAAACAGCTTATATTGAAAGAAATGTTTAATAAAACAAGCAAATATTGAGTTTTTTTAAAACTTTTTTTATTCCTTTAACGGCATAAATGCTGTATTATTTCAAAAACAATTATTTCAGATTTTTAATTTTATAATTTCGATATGGCATCTCATTAGATATAAACTGATGATTTAAAATCTGGAAAATTCCCAAGTCGGGAATTGCTGAAATCCCGAAGAGTCTCAATCTTGGACTTATAATTTCAAACTCGGATCTCAGACTTACTGTATGCAGATTTTTATCTATTGTGATACTGTACTTCATTTTGCTTGTTCACCATTTTCAGTTCCTGCTAGAATAATGGATTTTGGAGAAAATATCATCACTGTTCCTGGAGACAAAATTGTTCTTACATGTCAAGCTGTTGGTTCTCCTGTTCCAAAGAGAGAGTGGAAAGTTCGGTAAGTTAATGTCTCCTTAGTTTTGATTTTTGCCCTGAAAATAAATGTGGTTTTATAGTATAAATTTTAATAATTCCTTTTACTGAAATAATTTTTTGCTCTTCAATTGCTATGAATATTAACAATCACACACATGTATATAGAGAAAGTCTGAAAAAGTAAATTAAACCCATTTGATAAGAATTCCTTATCCTCAGGATTATGTGTTATCATACTATGCAAACAAATTGTTATTGATATTCAATACAAATACAATCAGAACTCAGTCTATTTGCCATTCATTATAGCAACTGTTCCATCACAACCAGAACAAAAAGTTCTCTCCAGTAAGAATATAGTAAATCCATTTTGGTTATAGTGACTGTTTATTGTAATTTTTTCTCCTGTCCAATACGAGGAAACATTGTAATGAATATAACTTGTTTATGCTTATTTAATATAGGGTCAATTATATTCTATATTTGTGCATATTTTCATGTTCATGCGGCTGTATAGTGGTTATCGTTTTCAACTTCCACATGACCTTCTTTAAAGACCTTTGAGTTTAAGTTTAAATTCACTCTGAAAAGCTGTTTATTTTGAGGAAGTAAAAGTATCTGTTTGGGAAGCACATTTAGTTATCTCATATTTAACTAGAGTGCCAATTAATATCTGTGGTGCAAAATTTTGGAAAGTTTTTCTGTAGAGTGTTTTTTATGTAGTATATGGTTACTACTCTTCAAAATATTGCTCAGGATTCATATGTTAAATAATAATAAAAAATGAAACATTATTCAAAGAAACAAAGATACATTTATTCCCAGTTATTAAGTATAATCTGTAAACAAGTATTTTTAACCACAAGCTAAAATAGAGCTGTTCCATGAAAAATGTTTCTGCTGTGCTAAAAAGTAATTTTTCATATAAAGAACTATGGATTCGAGAAATGTAAAACATTTTGTGAAATAATATAACAATTCAGAATTTTTTATTTAAAATTATGTAAAAGACAAAAAAATATTGTGCTTTTTTTATAGTTTCAATTATTATGCACTGTATAAAATATAAACTTATACATACTTAAACTCTGGTCTTTTTTTTCTGAAACATTAGAGTAGGTTACTGGAAAGTTGGCTGGATTAGATAAGGGCAAAGCAAATGAGGATTATCTCCTTATTTATTCCTTTTTTCCTTTCTGTAGCCTTTAACATAAAGAAATAAGGGGAAAAAAAAAAAAAAAAAAAAAAAGACTCTTAAGAATTAAAATAAAAATAATTTTTTTTCTTGGTTGTAATTTTATAAAAACCTAAACACAAAATGCATAAAGTTTAACATATTGAAATAAGAAGATTCAGAGGCTTCCGTGAAAGTGGAAGGCCAGAGTAAATCATCTATCTACTGTTACATAAATTGTACCCTCGTTTTGATATAAACATGGTTATAGATGGATTTATTTCATATCTGATATTTTAATTGTATGTTATTATACACTGTTCTGTACTGTTCAATTCTACTGCTACTGTTTATTTGTATATTACATTACTTCTACTTTATATTACTTGTACTGCTATTGTTTACTTGTATATTATATCAATTATACTACTACTGTTTACCTGTATATTATATTATTTATACTACTACTATTTACTTGTACATTAATTACTATTGTTTAATTGTATATTATATATTATTATTTAATTGTTCAAAATTCTTCATTTACACTGATAATTCCATGCGTCTGACTTATTATTGTTAGGTTCAGGTTTGGAGTGGCAAAATACATACATCAAAAGTGCTTACATAAGCATTTAAAATATCCATACATTAAAATCTATCAAATCAATTATATTATCAGCCATTTACGTGATAAATTGCAGAATTTTCAAATCATATCAAAATTTCTGATGACAGGCTACTTGTCCTACTATTATTTGCTGATGATAATGCTTTATTACAAGTGTGATTTTAACCCTTTGCACTCTAGTGACACCAGCACGGCGCCTGGCCGATTTGGAGTGTCAACTCGAGCGGCACTGCTGCAGCACCCAGCTGATTTGGAGTGTCAACTCGAGTGGTGCTGCTGCGGCGTGTGTTTGTGTGTGTATGATTACGACAAAGCCTCGAGGGCTATCTGCCTAAGAGGAGGGATGCCTTCGTGGAGGACTTTCTAAGGGAAACTGGCTCGTATACACGTTACACATGGGGAAAACCACAAAAACGGCCATGCAGCCAGCCCGTTCGCGGGATTCGAACCTCGGACCGAACTACCAGTGTTCAGCGACTTTACCGCTCGGCCGCTGGTGGGCCCGGTGCTGCTGCGGCACCTGGCCGATTTGAAGTGCCAACTCGAGTGGCACTGCTGCAGCGCCCAACTGATTTGAAGTCTTAAATCGAGTGACGCTGCTACGACACTATTTTTCGACAAAATCCACGGTCACGTCTCGACAGGGGTGACACAGAAATGACAACTGTCAAAAGAATTACACGAGGGGGTGTGGATATAATAGACAAGAAACCCAATATTGTATTGAACTATAAAAAATATATGGGTGGTATTGATCGGGCGGACCAATATGCATCAACCTATTGTTTTCTGCGAAAATTGTTGAAATGGTGGCGTAAGCTATTTTGGTGGGGGACATGGAAATTTCCCTAATCAATTCATACATTTTGTATAAACTAGGAAAGACAAAAAAAAAAAAAAAAAAAAAATGTGGAAAAGCCATTGAGCCATCTGCGATTTTTGAAAAGACTTGCTGAACAATTGAGAGGATCATATCGCCAGCAACGAGAGCAAGAGTCTATGTCGCATTTCGATGAAATCCGACTAAATGGGAAGCTTCACATAATACTAAAAGTGCTGAAAAGGAGTGCAAGGTTTTTTTTTTTTTTACCATAACATGCCTGGAGGTAGGTAGGAAATTTCGTATTGCTGTGATACGTGTCCTGACAAACCTAGGATGCATTTGGATATTGTTTTACAAAATATCACACCAAAACAAATTACAGAGTGTAATAGTTATCAAACTTTGTTGTTTTTGACATATAAATTAATAAACTGGTGAAATTTTATTATTTGTATACGTTTGTTTGTTTATAAATGTTTTTAAAGTGCTTGTAAAGTGTTTGCTGAATTTGGCCGAAATCGACTCGAGCTGTTGGTTCGTGCAAGCGAAAAAGGCCTCAAGTGCAAAGGGTTAATACCAAAGATGATTCTAGATACCAAACTAAATATTTCCTCTCTGGTCCTCAACCAGTTGATAAAACCATTTCTAACACAGTTTGTCATCACAAAGAGACCATTAGCACAACATCATGACTTTGACAGGCTTAGATGTATAACTGTTTGAATGACTCTGGAGCTTCTTGGTCTTGCCATCCCATGTCTGAGCATGCAGAAAATAAGTGATGTTCTTAAAAACTCTTAATGTAATTGGCAAATTTGGGTCAAGTTTAGTATTCATAATATATAAGAAAAAGATAATAGCAAATATGACAGAAATTCGCATGTAATCATGTTTATTTCAAAGCAATGTGTTCTGTAATTGATTTAGATTTAATGATATGTATTTGAAAGTTATGGCACACAGATGCATTTTTGGATGTCAGTTTGTCAATTTGTAGCAATTTTTGATTGTATAGAATTTTTTGAATTTCCATTTTCTTAGCAAAGCAACAACATTGTGTTTGGCATATGAATTTTGTACTTGTATGATAATATTCATTACATTCTAATAGTTCTTCTCAACATGCTTTTTATCTTCAAACGAAGATTTTCATCATTTAGGAAGCTTTAAATGTTGTGGGTTAACAATGTCTATTAACCCTCCACCCTCCATCAAGCCATATATATATGTGTTGAAAAATATTTATAACTATATCTTTAAGCGCACAGATATTTATCTTGAAATGTTTTCAGACAATTTAGCTAGTACAGTTATTTGTTTAAAGAAAAAGAGACAAGGTACAAAGTAGGAGAGATATTTTGTAATTATAACTAATAAAATACCAATTACAATTGCAGAACTTTAAGTGTGGCCTTTTGGAAAGTTTTATAACCTTTATGGAAAGTTTGAGAGTCAAACCCTTGGGAATTTAAAGAGTTAATATTAAGGATGTATAGTTATTTTCATTTAATAAATCAAATGATGTCTCAAGTGTTAACTTTCATGCTAGACATATTTTTATAATGTAGGATATTGCTGCTTATTGTTTTGTAATAAACATTCCTTGCATTTTATTTATAGCATGGACTTTGTAGACAAGATTAGCTTTACTTTTAAGATTAGCTTGAGTTTCATAGGTTGAATTGATTTCCAAAATATTTTAAAATGTAATTTAAAGAAATAGATAAATAATAATGGCACTTTTCTGTTATTTGGAGCTCTTATAAAATTGCCTTCAAATGACAAAAACATTTATTATAATCTTTGTGTTTGATTTTGCTTTGCAACTTTGTCTGGATAAAAGCTGGCAAGTACAGAACTTTAAGTATTTAGGAATTGATATTTAAAAGCTAAGGCCAGGCTTAAAGCTGGGGAAGCAGAAGATACACAAAACTGCAGAGTATCAATTCTGCTAAATTAAAAATTATTCTTCTGGCCACTATTCCACTGTGTCTAGAAAACTCATACTGGAATTTTTAAGTTTTCATTTAAACTAATATAATATTATACAACTTATTTGTGAATATAGTTGAATCTGATTTGCTATATTATAAAGTGGTATTGGTGAATACAGCATGGTTTTTGTTGAATGTTGTGCTGACAAGTTTCTTCTTATTGTAGACAGCAAGAATAATGTGCTTTTGTTTTCTAAATTGTGTGCATTCAGAGGGGGAGGATTCTTCATAATTTTATTTAGGAAAGTCAAATCAGCATGGAATCATCTACAAAAACGTTATTGTTTCTTGTTGTATTTTGCAGGGGTGAACCCCTTCCTAAAATGCACAGGCTTGAAGTGCATTCAGATGGTGCACTTGTGATAAGAAAGCTGCAAGTATCTGATTCCGGGAATTACTCTTGTCGTGTCCAGAACAGGCATGGAGCAGATGAAATCATATATGCACTTTCAGTTACAGGTATTTTATATAATATGATCTGAAATTGCTTTATTTATATATTTGATTATCTTACATTTTTACATTTATAATATTTAATTATCTTATATTGTAATTTAAACAAATTTTCTTGTAAGAATTATTTTTGAAAATTACTTATATAAAATTTATTCTTTTAGAAACTTAAAAAATAATTTTAATTTCAATGCATTAATAATCAGCGTGTGAGTTATGGAGGAGAAATGAATTGTATAGTTTTTAATTGCCAGAAAAGCAATAACAATTTTTTTTTCTTTATGCACTATTACGGACTTTCTATATACAGAACCAGGTATGTATAGCTTTTGTTTTGATGAACATGTTTATTTTGTTTTGATGAACATGTTACTTGCCATTTTCCCATAAATTTAAATGATATGTTATAAAATGCTGTATAAAGTGTTTTTCTGTATAAATAAGCATTGAAAAAGATAATATAGTTGCTTTTCCTTTCAGGTCAAGTATAACTATTGATAAGTTCATGGCAATATTTTTATTTGATCTGAAATTTGGAATAGATGCAAATAAGACACCAAATACATTATAGAATATAAATTAGCATTTTAATATAACATCTAGTAGTTTAAAAGCTAACCAAAAATTTCTGTTAAGAATTTACCTGTATTTTAAAGTAGTTTAATCTGGAAAATAAAGTTGCTTGGCTGTATCAATTAAATCAGTATTAAAAATAAACAGTTCAAACAGAAATAACAATGTCTTTGTTACTTTTGAACTTTAGTAGGAGTAAATGGAACAGAAGTGTGCTATTATTATTTATATACTGTGCAATTAATTGATTTTTACAATTTTACAGTTTATTTTTAACAAATGAATTAACAACGTTTGCATACTAGATTATGTCAATTACATTATTCTTGTCGATAAAAACAATTCCTAATTACTGCATTTTCAATCTGTTATCACTGATGCCCCCATGCACTTTTTTCTCTCCCCTCCCAATAGAAAATTTTTCTGCTGTAAAGAAACAATGTTGTTTAGGACAAGGCCCATTTAATCAAGTGTCTACTGAACTGTGTGCATTAAATGGTGAAAACTTTTCTGATGTATTAGAAAAGTATAATTAAAGTAAAAAAAATCCAGTTTATCAATCTTTGTGCTCTTTATAAAAGTGTTACATAAAAAGGTAATGGGATGAAATCGTATGCACTATCTGGCCAAAAATATCCAGACACCCCCTAAAGAGGTGGATCTGGCAGGTGACATAAATTGATACATAAATGAAAGCTATAAAAGTGATGGTAGGGATTTGTCAGGTCATGTTTATGCATTTGTGAGACAATGAGTAAGTCAACAGAGCTTAGTGACTTTAATCATGGCAGTATAATGGGCTGCCACCGTTATGAGAAATCAGTTTATGAAATTTCAGGCATTCTATAGAAGCAAAAATCTACTGTGAGTGATGCACTTATAAAGCAGAAACATCGAGGCAGTGAAACTGCAGAGAAAAATAAAGTGGCAGGCCAAAAAAAGTAGTGAATGCAGCTGTAGAACTCTGAAAATGATAGTGAAAAAAAATTGAAAGTCCTCATTGGTTGAAAACACTCATAAGTTCCCAAGTTCATCATATATTAGTTCTAGCAGCAGGACTGTTCATCAAGAGTTAGAAAATCTGTAATTCCATGGTCATGCAGCCACTCACAAGCCGAATATCTCCGTACCAAGAGCCATTCACAAGCCAAGCTACTGTATCAAATGACTGCTCATCTAGATGATTTAACAAGGCAAGTTAGTGCTTTGATCAGAATAGGAGTGACAACAAACTAATCCTTAAGTGCTGGAACTGTGGTGGTGAAAGCCATGTATGAGAGAACTACAGAACACCCCAAGGCACCAAAGCTAAGATTGTTTCCCAGCAAGGAGGCAGGAAACAAATTGGTAGCCATCTCAAGGAGCAGAGGTTGCCAGATATTGAGAAGCCACATTTTAAAGCACTTCATATTTCTGCAATGAGTGGCAGCAGTAATGGACCTTCATCATGCGACATACATATGGAATTCTTTGCAATACGACCATTCATAGAGGAGCCAATGTTACCATCATACAAAAATATTTCGTTCAACGGTCGGAAATTAAACTGATCTGGATGCCACCCACTGTTACCCTCCAGACTGGGTTCAGAAGTCAAATCAACATTGATGGAAGTTAAACATTATGTTTGGAAGTGCCGCCTACCATCACATGGCATATGTGACAAATATTACTAATCCTTGCATACTCAGATCAGACTTTTTAAGGAAATACACATTTTCCTTGGATATTAGAAATAAAGAACTGCATTCTGCCCTGAGTGCACTACCCTGTTTGGAATTAAAGATGAAGTTAAATCTGTCCACCTAATAATAGTCCAGTATGATATCACAGTAGCAGCAAAAACAGAATTTTTACTTCTTGGACCTATAGCTGAAAACAAAAATTTCCAGAGCAGCATAATTGGATATCCTAAGAACTGTAATAGTCTGAAAGGAGTACTAGTAGTCTCGGCACTTAACCTATTGAGGACCATCATCCGGATAAGAATTGCCAATGTAACTGATAAAGGCGAAAGTCATCAGCAAAGGGGAAGTGGTTATAGCATGTACAGCAGTGACCTGCATTAAATGAACCAGTAGTCAGTCTCTGTGTCTTTAAAGAGCCTAACATCAGAGTTATTGCAGAAGACATAATGAAGAGGGGTGTGCTGCAGAATGTGTCAGAAAAGAATTTTCAGTTGGTTTCTCTCACACATCTTCTAATGTAGGTCAAAATAGTTTGGCATAGTATGAAATTGATATGGAAGATCATCCATCAGTCTAGTAACATGCAAGGCATGTAGCAGTTAGTAAACAATAAAAGGTAGGAAAACTTCTAAAGGACATGCAAGAAAGAAACATTGAGCCTTCAGCAAGTCTTTTGGCCTCTGCCATCATCCTCATCAGAAAGAAAGATGGTTCAACAGATTTTATGTTGACTATTGCCGGTTGAACAATGTCATGAAGAAAGATAGCTATATAGCTATCTTTGTCCTAGAATTGACAACATTCTGGACACTCTTTATGGAAGCAGTGATTTTTGGCACTTGATTTAAAGAATGGATATTGCCAGGTAGACATAGACCCTGATGACAAAGAAAAGACAGCATTTAATATTGGACAAGGACATTGGCAGTTCTAGGTGATGCCATTTGGATTATACAATGTGCCTGCCACATTTGAATACTTCGTGGAAACTCTGCTAAGACATCTATTGTACGAAGCTGTCTGATATACCTGGATTACATCATCATCATTAAGAAAAGTTTGAAGTGCATTCAGAAAATATTAGGAAGGTGTTTCAGAAATTTAAAGAAGCTAATCTAAAGTAAAGTCCTTCCAAATGTAAATTGTTTCGACAGGAAGCGATTTGCCTCAGACATGTTATCTCAGAAAAAGGTGTGTTTCTGGATCCAGGAAAAGTGTCAGCGGTTAGAACCATCGCAAGGTCCCTTCACAAACTCACAGAACATAAGCAAAAGTTCTTGTGTGTGAATGTGAAGAAACAAACTGAAGGAGATCATCTCCTTCAGTTTGTTCAATGTTCAGTTTGTTTGCTTTGCCCCAGACTAACATCTGGGGAAAGCTTACATCTTCAGCTGAACAAAGCATTTATTCTTGACACGCATGTGAGCAATGAGAGTATCAGTGCTGTTTTGTGCCATGCAATAAATGATCAAGAACGTATCGTAGCCCACTGAAGCAAGCATCTATATAAATGATAGAGGAATTACTGTGTCACGAGAAAATAGTTGTTTGCCATAGTTAAACCCATAGAATATTTCCACCATGACCTCGATGGCAGAAAATTCCTGCTCTACACAGGTCATGCAGTCTTGACCTTGCTCTTAAATTTCAAGAATCCTGAATGCCAAATAGCCAGATGGATACAGAGACTCCAGGAATATGACATCATTTTTCATTATCAGAAAGAATCATCATACAGATTTGCTGACATCCTGTCCAGAAAATTGCCAATATTGTTTCAGGGAAGCAAAACACAAACTGTTTAATCCAGTTGTATCTCAAGTTACAAATTCACCTGACCCATGGAGTGGTGAAGAAGTCAGGAAAGCCCAGTTGGAAAATGGCAACATTAAACCCATAATTGATTTAATGGAGACTTCAAATTAGAAATCTACCTGGCAGGATATTTTGATATCTAGTCCTACCACAAAATACTGGGCTGTCTGGCATTCACTCCATATTCGAAATGGCATCTTGTACTGGAAGTTTGAATTGGATAAATGAAAGCAAATTTGATGGCAGCTGATAAATCCAAGACCCCATACATCCTTAAAGAACTACATAGCAATCCAATAGGAGGTTGTACTGGAATAAATTTTGCATAGGGTTTCAGAGTTCTTTTACAAGGGTAATGCAAGGGCTGACTTGAAAAAATGGCATCAATCTTTCAGTTCCTGTTTGGGTCGGAAAAGACTTTAGAAATGCTGCCAACAGAAGTTACAGTGTTACATTGCAGGAATGCCTTTTGAATGCATTGGCTCTGACATCCTGGGACCTCTGCCATGATGTGCTAATGCTAGTCAATGACAGGCTCATTGTCATTGATTACTTTACAAAGTGACATGAAGCGTATCCTGTTTAAGATCAAGGGGCTGTAACGGTAGCAGAGGTAACGATACAGCACTGGATTTTGAGGGTTTTAGTACCTGTTCAATAACATTCCTACCAAGGAAGGAATTTTAACTCATCTGTAATTAAAGCTGCAAACTACTTTGCATAGACAAAATCCAAAGGACATTTTACACTTACAGTTAGATGGCATGGTAGTGAGGTTTAACCAAACCATTCTTAACAAACTCTCGCTGATGGTTTCCAGAAACCAACAAGACTAGGAGCAGAAGTTACCTCTGTTCTTACTGTCCTCTCTGAATATTGTCCACGAGACTACTGGCTATTCCCCATCCCAGATGCTCTTCGGTCAGGACCTTCATGTGCCTTGTGATCTATTGTTTGGTTGCCTTTTGGATCTGTCTTTACTGCCTGAGGAGTCATTCTGGCATGATTTGAAGTGATGCACAATTTTGCCCGAGAACAAGTTAACTTGTCAAAGGAGAAGATGAAGATCCATGAGAGTTACAGGACGTTGATCCAATGAAGGTAACAAATTGTGGTTATGGAAGTCGATTCAAAGGAAAGGTCTTTCTCCTAACTACAGTCACCCTGAGATGGTCCTTATGCAGCCCTATCAGGCTGGACAAGGTAGTTCAGATCTACTCACATACAGACATATTTCATATCTGTAAGTCATCAAATCCTAAACCTAACTCTTTACTATGCTCCTATAGTATGTAACCCCTATAGTGTATGTAATGCAAATAGTCCTTTAAGGCCATGTGCCTAAGTGTATATAAATTCGTAAATTTATGCATGTAATTATTGATTTAGTTTTTGATTTGTTATATGTTATTTCTTGAAATTATTGTTTTGATATAGCATTGATTTTCCCTAGTTGTTAGTATGGCTTCCAGTTTAAGGATTGTGCTGCCTGAAACGTGCAGTCCTTGAGAACTGGGAAATGTTATGCATTTTGCATATATACCAATAATTTTATTGAAATTATGTTTAAAATTATAGTATTTCTTGTATAATGTTACATGATAGGCCTCAAGAGTGAAGTTCCACCAGAAAAATCTGTTTAACATTCAGGTAAGTGTTGGCAAGATAGTGCCAAGTTTGCGATGGTATTGGTTACTAATTTTTATCGCTAAGTTTGGCGAGAAGCCACCAAAAGTAACCAAACTTAACAGTTATTTGGTGACATTTTGGTCTGGTCTCTTTATAACAGTAATTGGCCCAAATGCCTGTGTAACTGTAATTATGTTTGGCTGTATCTAACTGTATATGCCTTCCAACAATTTCAAGAAATCTAAGGTAATGGAAATTTCTTAGCAGCCTGAGGAAATTGTATAAGACAAGAGAGAATGTTAGTTCTCAGTTTTTGTTCAGAGTTGAGTTTGGAGCATTGAGAGATCTCCATGCGAGCTTTTGCTGTTTAGGCCCACTTTGCATTACACTGTGTTTAACATTCTTAATAATTTCAAGTGTTGAACATCAAGCTATCATCATTTCTGTGTGCATACAATCCATTATGAACTCTCACGAATATAACAGCATATATATATATATATATATATATATATATATATATATATATACAAGAAGAGGAAATGCAAGTAAACTGTTTTCTGTTTTCTTTGTATTCACTTATTTAATTCTTTCAGTAACAGCAGTATTATACAAAAATATTTATATGCATAATTTAATAAAAATAATATTTTTTATCATATTAGTGACTACAGTGAGCTATATCTAGAATGCACAAACCATTTTCTTAATGCATACATGTGCACTAATGGCACAATAACCTATTGCCTTGGTAACATAGTGGTGGCCAGTTCTGCTGCTGTCAAAAGTTAGATTTGTTTCTTTTTGATTTCATGAAAACATACATTGAATACTTTAAACCATTGAAGAGAAATATAGAATATCAAGCCCCTCAGTTTTGCCTTCCTCTAAATGAAACATTAGATTGCATTATTAAGATAAATGGCAGTTTTCTGTGAAGTACATTTTAAAAAACTTATAAGAGCAAGCATGCAGTTCTTGTACAGAAGGGTAAGTAACTTAAGAAAAACTTGCAAAGATAATATCTGACTTTGGCTCAAAAAGAAATCTGAAGAAAAAACTGTAACTTTATTTGAAAACAGTTTGCTTTATCAAATGTTTTGAGTTATAGAAATTTTAGTATATATTGTCTATGGGAAACATCTAGTTCAATTTATAAAAAATATATAATTAATGAAGTTTATGTAGTCAAAGTCTGTTGTAATTGCAGACATTTTTTTAGTCCAAATTACATTAGCCCAAAAGAGCTATTAATTTCATTTTGGCATTTTGCCTCTCGATTCAGTATAAACGGCGAATCACTTTTGAAATTGTTGCCACCAAATGTTAGATCCCTGTATCATATTTAAAGGAATTAAATAATGAAGAATCTGCATAAATGTATGCATATTCTCACACTGTGGTTGTGTGGTACCTAGAGCCATCAAATATTGAATAACGTACGTCTCCACCCAAATATGGGCATCTGAAACAAATTCCAAATCTGGGTCCCAAATTTGGAATTTGTTTTATTATCTGTTTCTTATTTTGTAAAACATTTATGAGTTTTTGATTAAGAAACTCAGCAATTTCAAAGCAAGCAGTGGCAACACTGTACTGGGGGGGGGACATTTTTATCTTTAGCACAGGATACTGTGTATTGGAAATTCTAAAGATATGCTCTTTTTAAATCATTTTGCGATATTTCTGTTGAATTGAATTTTGTGGTTTAAGTGCAAAGAACATAATAAATAAATAAATAACACACAAAACGTTAAAAAACAGTCCCTTTGGGCGTAATTTAAATCCTGAATGTATTCAGATTTTTTTTTGTATATGTGTGCAACTGTCCTTTTTTATGTGGTTCTAGACAATATCTGGCAATTTTTAACATGGCATGCTTATATTTCAATGTTATATTCACGTAAAATGACAGGGTTGACTAAGCTATAAAAGCTAAAGAATCAGCAATTTGCAGAGTAATGATTTCAATTTAAACATTTATTTCTTTCAAAAGTAAACACTATTTTAAGCATCAGTTGAAGGACTGATTTTCTGCCATTTAATTACCAAGCTGTCAATATGTTCATTGATACAAACAACTAATATTCATGTAATTGGAAGGCCAGAATTTCAGAGGATATGTGAAGTTTTCAGTTAATGTAGTTGTTAGAGTAAGCAGCCAATAAAATCAATTAATATATATTTATTGGTAAAATATTACTGTGTTAATGAGATTGTTCTACCATAAGTCAGATTTACCAGAATTAAAAATATAAATTTACTTATAATTTGATAAATTTATTATAAATCATTGTACAAATTTGTATGTTCTTTCATTTCATGCTGTCAACCACATTTGAAGTTGTTTATTAACTACTCTGTTATTTTTAATAAAAATTTGCTCTCATTATGTCTTCTTGCTTAACACGTTTGTTGTCGTAGTTGATATAGTGTGTCTGCTCATATGTGCTAAGATCCTATTTGCATTATTATGTTTTCAAACAATATTTTGTTGTTGTATTATTTAAATATAGATACAACTGATTACTTTTAGCAATAAATAAACCCACATGAGTGTGCTCACATGTAACATTTAAAATAATAATAATGCTCCTAGGGCCAACTATGAAATAACTTGGAAATAGATAAACAATACTCATGCAAGATTTCTGCATGTGGTACATTACTTCTATTAATCTTACACAAGTTGCTGATTAAAAATGTTTTTGACCAGTCCATTTATAACTTTTTCTAAGTGAATTAATAAAAGAGAGGGGCTTTGTTCTACACATTTATTTATTGTATCTACATTTTGAAAAATAAATTACCCACTTTTTTATGCCAGACACCTAAACCCTGCATACCATTGCTACTTCAACACTCCTACTTAGTGATTTTGGTAATGCAATCAATAACAAGTTATCTGTTAGCTGGCAAGTTATCTATTTAGAAGTTCAGAAAGTTATATTAATGCTTCATTAAACAGGATTAGTGATTGGCGCACATAATGCAAATTTCATATTCACTTATAAAGATGAAAGTCCTCATGCTGAAAACCACATTCATATATTCAATTTTTTTTTTGCAGATAGCGTGATCTAAAACAGTACTGAATATATTAACATAGTTTTAATATAGAATTTGTACTAATGTAGTCTTTTTAATTTGAAATTTAAAAAACTAGGTTTTTAATAAATTTTAAAGTTTCCATTTGAATTATTAAATTGATGTCATTAAATTTTATAATTAATGTTTCTTAGTGCCATCTCATGTGCCGCAAGTGAAGGTTTTATCTACAACTGCAACATCTGTTTTGTTAGAACTGCCACAATCCAGAGAGCGAGCTATTGTTAGAGGTATTTTAATGTTTTATGAAAATTTTAGATTAATTAAAAATGAAATTATTCTGATGTTACAGCTTTTAAGGTATATCTGCAATTGCTTTGCATGATGCAATTGTTGAGCATTACTGTCATGATTATTACTCTCTTGAGTTCTAGTTTCCTAGAATTCATAACTAACATTCCTAGAATGTTAGTAAAATTCCTAACTTCTCCTAACATTCCTAGAATGTTTACTCATTCCACTAGGAACTATGTACACAAGGAATTACTGATTTACATCTACATTATAACACATTACACTAGGAATAAAAACTCACTTTAACCATTTTGTGGCATATCTAGTTTTTGCTTTTATTCCCTTTAAGATATTTTATAATGAAATTTTACAAAAGATGAACCAGTTGAATGTGAAATAATGCCAGTTGAATATGAGGAGTTGTTAATATTCTAAGATGCTTATAACTTTTTTTTATTACTGAACATAATAAATATATTTATATTGTAAAGCATTTTTAAAATTCCTTGGAAATTTTGCTTCCTAGCATTTAGTGTGAAGGATTAGTAGCCTAATAATAATCTTTGCTAAATGGTTAGAATAAAAAATAATATCATTTATAAAGCTAATTTTAGTGTAAAATTGTATCGTTCATTATTATTTAATTGTAAAAGTACATGAAAATCATATTTCTTACACTAAAAGCCAATAAAAAAAGTTCATTGCTATAAGAAATAAAAATAACTGAAATGAGTTGCTTCTTTAGTTAACACACACACACACACACACACACACACAAAAAAAAAAAAAAAAAAAAAAAAAAACAATCAAATAGCAGCATACTGTTGAAGAGTTCATCATTAAATTTTGGAAAAGCTAAAAAATATTGAATGAAATAAAAAGTATAAAAAAGTGTTTCAATCTGATTTTAGTGTGCAGATTTCAGTTTAGCACTCGGAACTAAGCATTTCAGTTTAGCACTCAGAACTAAGCAGTTATGTTTAGCCTACTAGTTTAAGAATTGATCTCCCAGAAATTAAGGATACAGAAAATAAAATCCCACATTAAATATGAGCTATTCAAAATGGCAAATAGAGGGGGGATATATTTGCTATGATTTTATTTCATTGTAGTTGGAACATCATGTGGAGAATTATACTTTTGCTTAACAAAGAATAAACTTAATTATTCATTATATTGCTCTGCATTTATTTCACAGTACCATTTGTGCATGAGGATCACAATGAATATTATCCCCAAAAGGATTGATTATAGTAGGTCAGCATTTCTCAGTCTGTGGTCTTCAAAGCCTACCCTTATGGTTCTTCTTTCCAAAAAAACAATAAAATTCATAATAATTAAGTATAACAGATTATAGTGGTTTGAAAAATACACATTGCAATCATTTATCACATTTTCTTCCAAGACTGATAATTTACAAAATTTTTTATGTACAGACTTCCAACACTGATTTTAGCAATGAGGGATTTAAAGCACTCTGATTATGATGCTTTTTATTAACATACATCCAAATATAGAACAGCTATGGAAGAGTCAGTAAGCTCATCTATCTTATATATCTTATCTCTCATCTTATTGTATTAAATACCAGAAGTTATTTAATTTTTAGTTAATCAGATAAAGATTACCTGAACTCTAACAATCTTGAATTATTAAAAGTAAATATAAATTTTCCTCTGTTGACTTAATTATTTAATAATAATATAAAATTAAATGAATTTTAATGAACTGTATTTAGAAAATATAAGTATGGTAATAACTTAGTGTATATGCTGTAAAAAGTGTTTTCAAAGGGGTTTGAGGTGGTCTACAGGACATTCTAAATTGAACAAAGTTTAAAATGTTGCAGCTGTTAATATTTAATAAAGTTATGATCAACCAAATGACATGTTACAGAATGGTTAGTCCATTTTACCTTTTTAAGAAGATCTAATCTGTGCATTAATAAATTATTATGCTGATTTATTGCAAAATATGAAGTGCTTTTTTTGACTTCATTGACATTTGACCTTGTTAGCACTCCTTTAACAGATATTATGTGTTTATGTTGATATATATTATTAATGGAAAAGTGTTTAATATATTAAATACATTAACATGAAAGCAAAATTAAACTGGCAAAAATTGTTAGAAATGAATAAATATGTTGTTCCCGTCCCCTCGCAATATTTCTGTTTTAAAATTTGGTAGGATCTTATGATCAGATGTTTTTGATAAAAGATGTGAAGGAATTTAATTATCATGCTGTATAGAAATATTATGCTATTTAAATTGTAAATAAACCATGATGGTAATTACTGTCTATATATACTCTATAACAGATGCATCTAGCTGAGTGATTTAGGTGAGTCTGTATCCACAACATTGGTCATAGATATAGCAGAAAAACAAATAAGTAATAATGTGTGATTAAATTTTCCAGTACTTACATATCATCTCGTCATCAAAACTGTCACTGAGCAGTGTGATTTAGAGCGAGTTATAGATGAGCATTATAGCATCACACTAACAACATCAGGGCTTTTGTTTAATGTAACTCCAGTTGATTCTGAAAACTGATCCCCCCTCTTTTTTTTTTTAAATGAAAAAGGATATAAATTAGGTGTCATTGGTGTATTTTTTCCTTGCATTTTGGAAAAAATATTAATACTGGGGACTTGCCTTCTATAGAACAACAAGCGGAGGGTTATTTTTAAACTTATGGGATTCTCCATTAAAAAAAGTGTGTATGGACACGGAATGGTCAGGTGACAGGTGAGAGAGGGTCTGGACACTCAAGTGGCTTGCAAGGACTATTTAGGTATCGCTGAGGATCCGCAAGTGTATAGTGCAGGATTGCTTTAGTGCCTCAGAAGCATAATAGAAGCGAAGCACAAAAATGAAATAGGTTCATATCCTGGTTGCTTATTAAATCTTTCAGGTTTTCATTAAATCTTCATTAGTTCCTTCGGGACTCTGTAGGCATGATTGGTGCAACTTTGGCAGAATCTTCACCAACTTTCTCAATCGAATGGATAATGCTTCTTTTTCTTCCTATACCACAGTCAAATATTGTATTTAATTAGGTAGCATGCCTTTCATTCAAATCAGAAACAAATTAATTCTAATCAGTACCATGCTCTCATTCAAATATTCACTTCCAGTTTTATTTCTTGAAATTTTTGTTTAAGGGAGTATTTTATATTTGAGGGGATTTTATTTTTGAGAAAATATGGTAAATATTCTTGATGCTAAAGCATCAAATTTCTTTTCCTTCTAGGTATTTATGATTTTTTGACATTCAAACAAATAAGCAATAAAATTACTTTCTGGCAAAGAACAGAAGTAAAAGAGAAAATGTTTTTTCAAAGATCATAAAAATAATGAGCATTTTAATGTAGTTTTGCTGTTAATTGTTCACCATAAAATTTTTTATTGTTTATTGTTTTATAATTAAAACATGCACACAACTAGTTTCCGTCAACAACAAGATTTACAATATTTCATATAATAAATTAGTACATGGAATATTGTAAATTAGCATAAAAACATTAAAAACCACCAAATAAACTTGCTGCTACTAACATTAAATATAATGTTAATATTAAAACCTAAAAACTCTTCCTTCTTGCTTAAAGTGAAGACAAACATGAATATATAGTAATAATATTAAGTGTGCTAAATAATGGATTTAAAATAAAACCTTAATAAAATTAAATTAATATGCTATATTTATAGTTATTATTTTTATTTATTTATCTATTTTGTATATCTATGATCATGTTTGTAGGATCTTCTGCTGTTATTCATATTAAAATATCTTTACTGGATTCAAATTTCTTAAAATTAGTATTGCCCTTTCCTTAAAAGTAACTTTCTGAATATATTTATCTCCTTTAAATTCTCAAATAAAATAGCATTTTATTAATTATTTTTCCATATGGCTCTTAAACTTGCATATGCCATATTTGTGCAGTTACTTCTTCATAGCAGCATTTTGTAACATTAAATTTACTTTTGAGCTTTACATATGAATATTAATGTATAATTTATGTTTTTTTAGGGCATGAATTACATTTTAAACCAGAAGGGGGAGAATGGCAGCAGCGACGACTTCTTAGCAAAAATCATACTTATAAATTAGAGGGCTTGGAATGTGGAGTCAAATATCAGCTTTATGTAGTTCCTTTAACAAGTGAGGGAAAAGGAGAGAGGAGCAACCCCATATCATTTAAAACTCAAGGTTCTGGTAAGTATTTTTGCCAAAAATCAAAATATGTCATCTGTAATAAATTTGGTAGTATTTTGTCATATTTCTTATCAAGCTGAGAAATCTCTAATAATACCTAATATTCTGTGTGAGTTATTGTATTTAATTAGGTGGCATGCCTTTCATTCAAATCAGAAACAAATTAATTATAATCAGTAGCTGTGTTTGAATTACTAATTAACTACTTAAGTGAAATTAAAATAATGTCTGTTTCCATAAAAGCATAAGCATTATATATTACTATTTATTAAAACTCATTTGGGGCCACTTCTGATTTCTTTTAAATTTTTATATGTGGAAACCACAGAAACTAAAAAGAATTAGGTAAAAATTTTTAAATAATTACTTGATATTCAAGAGATTTTGACTTCATATGGAGAAAATATAATATTTACTTTAACTAAATTCGGCAGATAAACAATTAAATTAGAATGTAACAAAATAATTACACAGCAAAATACTAAAGAAACATATGCAAATTTCTAAGCAGATTCGAAATGATGTATAAATGGAAGACAAATATACACCTTTAAAATGGGGGGGGGGAAGAAGAGGTTGCAATACAAACAAGTATTTGCTCTAATATATACATATATATTTAGGTTATTTTATCAGTTAAATATTCAAAAAGTTTCGTGTACATTTTCAATTTTCTGTTTTGACGAAACGCGATATGGAATTAGCTGGATTTGAAAACCATTATGTATTTTCCCTGAAGAGTCAATAATGAGATTCGAATTGGGCTAATTTACCATTTACCACTTTTTTGGCTATTTTTGTATTTTTGCTTATGTCTTATATAACAACTGTATTTTTATTCAAATGTTTAAAGCTTGTCTTAACTTTAATCAACATATTACTTCCAATTTGATTTGGGTTTTAAATACACTTTTTATTTGTAAGTATTCTAGTGATAATTTCGTTTATTTTGTATTTACACTTTTCTTTGCACGTTATTTTAACCGCTTCGCCTTACAAATTTTTTTGAAAAAAATTTCAAAAAATCATCACATTTTTTAATTTTATTATTAAATACAACAAAACGAAACAAATCAAAATATGTAGGTTTTAAGTTGAATTTTTAATTTTTTGAAGGTGTAAAAGCATTTATTTTTAATATTAGTTTACTATCCCGAGTTATCTTGGGCAAACGAAAAAAAGTTAAATATTAATCTTTGTATGATAGTTTTTGAAACAAGGGACAACATAGAGTGATACCTGATGTTCTACACTGGTATCTGGTCTCTTTTCTTACTGGCTTACCGCTGGAATCTCTTTCACGGGAGCACAAAGTACACTGTCTCGTTGGATTTGATTTTTTTCCCCCCCCCACCTTTTCATAATCACTATCTGAAAAATCACCGCTTTCGCTATCTTCCATCATTGCCATTATTTTATTTTTTTCCAACGCATGCATCCGTCTTTATACATCACTAATCCACAAGCCAACGTATACTATGCAATAGGGAAACACGTGACCAGTCCCTCCAAAAGAACCGCGCAACCAACAAAATTTGGCAAACTGCCAATCAAAGCTAAATATTTCCTTTCATTTCCTCCAGACCGAGTAAAACCGTGATAAAAGAAATCATACTAACAAATTCTGCTTCTCCCGAGTTTTCTCGGGATAATAACTAACTGCAATATATACAAACCCGAGATAACTCGGGATAATCAGGCAAGCGGTTAACTTATGTTAAAAATTTTTTCACTGGAACCACAGTATTGCAGAGACTTTTAAGTGGAAGCATTAAGAATTTTCTTTTTACCTTGTTTTCTAATTTTTGCAGCTCAATGCACAAAATTCTTGACCACAAAGGTCTTTTTTACTTTGTTCTCCTTTCTTAATTATATATATATATATATATATATATATATATAAAGAAATTTTGTGCTATTATGAATTCCAAATTCCAGGTATGTAAGGAATTAATTATATATGTATATTTAAGAGTTTAACAGTTACCCACTTGGCTTGAAAAATTGTGAAAAGTCAAGAAAATATAAACTTTTTTCAATAATTGAGGCATCTTTCAGAAATGAAATGTCAGGGAAGTTAAAATTGCAGATACATTTCTTCAAATAATGAAAAGTTCATCTCTTTTAAATATTAGACAATTTAAAAAAATGCCTCTGCAGGGGAAAAAAGGTTGGATTACTATAATGTTTATTTTTCTTGCCGAAAGTGTTTTACCCACTTTATAACAGATGCAATTTTATCATCCTGTAGTTTTTCTCCTCTTCATCTATGAGATGTTTGCTTGTGTCTTTAGAAATGTTGCTGTTTTATAACCTTTTTTTTTTTTTTTTTTTTTTTTTTTTAAGTGTAATTGTCCTTCAGAAATAAGTAATGTAGTTAAGAAGCCATAACACTTTTTTTGTGCAATATAAAGAATAATTTTATTAGCTGGTCCCCCCCTTCAATTCAGCAAAATTTTTGGCTCCTTAGTTTTATCTTGAAACTTTATGGAAGCAACATTAATCATGATTAATATAGAATAAACAGTTGTAGAATGAAGAGTTCTTCACAGAGTTTTCATTTCTTTTTTGAAACCCTACCTATCTTTTTTGAGTGGCTAGATGTATTCTCTGCATATATTTAATTTATTTTCTTCTCAATAACAAGAAAGCTAAATTACATTTTTATATTGTTTTTTGTTATTGCATTGCATTTTAACCATACTTGATATAATAATGCTTGGTAAAGAAGAAGTTGTGTGCAGTCATATAAAGTTAGGCATATTAATGAAATCGAATTTCAATGAAAATTTTGAATATATATAGCTGGATTTAAAGACAAGACTAAATATATATATAGAGAGAGAGAGAGCCTTATCTTTAAATCCAGTTGCATGACAGTTATATTTATTTGATTATTGTTAAGAATAAAAGTTAAAAGAAAAAGATGGAAAGTGTAAAAGTTGGTTTATAAAACTGAAATAAAATATTGAGCTTGAAATGTGGTTTGCCTGCATAAGGCATTTAATAAATATATCATACATTTAGTTGACATACACAGATTGTGGTTTATTTAAGATCATTCAATCAATATTTATTTTTGCAGCTCCTGTAGCACCAAAGCAAGAGGATATGATTTTTGCAAATTCAACTCACCTTGTCTTGCATTTGTCAGCTTGGCAAGGTGGTGGCTGCCCCATTACACGTATGAGTATTGAATATCGACCTCATAGCCATAGTCGATGGACTGTACTGACAGATCATGCAAACCCAGAACAACAACATCAACTTGTAGTACCAGATTTAGCTGCTGAAACTTGGTATGTCGTGAAAGTTATTGCCTATAATGGAGCTGGATCAACCACTGCAGAATATGATGCTATTACTCTTACTAGTACTAATGGTATGACTGTATTTAATTTGTGTGAATGATAATTCTAACAAACTCTAATTAAAATTTATACAAAGTTAATATATTATTTTTCATACTGCATTTAGTTTAAACAGGATATTTTATTTTTTCTCTGCCAACTTAGCTTTTCCTGTCCCAGATCATGGAACTCAAGGCCACATGCCATCTGCAACTTCATTTTTTGAGGACACTACTACTCTTGTTTCAATGGCTTCATCTGGTGTAGTTCTTATTGCAGGCATTGTTGCTGTGGTATGTTTGGTTATGTACAAAAGAAGACGAAATACTGGTCATCATTACAGAGGTACTTTTACATCTCATTGAAGTAGCAATGTTAATTAAATATAGTTTTATATTAGGCATGGGTAAAACAAGTATAAAACTTCAAATTTATTCATATACTTATTAATGTGAGACAAAATTAAATTTGTTTATTTAAAAAAAAAGTCTGCCAATGTCAATAAAATTGTAAAAAGTCAAGGAAATATAATTTTTTTTTTCAATAACTGAAGCTTCTTTTAGAAATGAAATGTCAGGGAATTTTAAAATTGCAGATAATTTTTTTTCAGATAGTAATAAGTCATATTTTAAATAGTAGTTTAAAAAAGGAATTGCCTCTGCAGGGGAAAAAAAGAGATGAATTACTGTAACCTTTATTTTTCTTGCAGAAAGTATTTTCCCACTTTATAACTGATACAGTTTTATTATCCTGTAGTTTTCCCCCCTCCATCTATCAAATGTTTACTTATCTGAAGTGTAATTGTTCTTCAGAAATAAATAATGCAATTAGGAAGCCATAACACTTTGGTTGTACAATATAAAGAATAATTTTATTAGCTGATTTTTTTCCCCCAATTCAGTATAATTTTTGGCTCCGTAGTTTTATTTTGAAACTTTATGGAGTTTATTAACATGTTCATGATTAATGTTAAATGTATGATGATTTTTTGTAAATAATAATACTAATTATAAATTAATAAAATATAATAAAATATTAGGCAGTAATACTATAGTAGTTTTATTAGTGGTATTATTCTTCAGTCATTATCAGTTTGTAGATTAAAACTCTGCAAGCATATTTTAATATTTTTTATAATTGTACTTTTCAGAAGCAGCTTCAAGAGCTGATGTTGCTACAACAACAGCTCTAATGGCACACATGGATAAAAAAACTGGACGGTCAGAATCCAGTCGACATGGTCATGGGCATAGTCATAGTCATAGCTCACACAACCAACAAAGCCATAATAACCGAGATCTCCCGTCCTATTTCTCTTCCCCTGTTCGAAAAGTGGCACCCACCAATAATGCTCCTCAATCACGTCAAAATAGTCAACAAGCTGGACCTTCTACAAGTCATTGTGAGTACTATCACTTTGTCATGCATTTCTAAATCTCTATAATTTTGTTTCCCTTAACTCAAACAACAAATAAAGTATTTACTAACTGATTAAAATTTGGTAAACATTTCTAATATTCGCAAACTGTAAGACCACTTCTCCCTTTCAACACAGGAAGTAAAGGACAGGGAAAGTTTAAAATATTTCCCTCTACTTTAGTTTCCTTTACCAATGTTAATTGGCTGTTTAGTGAAATAACCAAAGATCAAAAATTAAAAGATTAACTAATTTCTCTGAATGTGAGAGCTTTTCATTTAAAGAAATGAAAATTCAGTCACAGAACTGAGCAAAAATTTTTTAATATTCTTTGTGTAAAAGAAAAATTTATATAAAAAATAATTTATTGCTTATTTTTGGAATGAATAACAAACACATTTCAATCACTTCTGGTATGACCTGTATGAGACTTACATCATTTTCTTGAAGTGCTTTATCGATCCTAATTACAGAACCTTTTCTTACTTATTAGCCATCTTAATTATGATATCAGAATTCTAAATTTATTTTTTACTGTTATACAGCAATTATAAATATATTATTTTTACTTCATAGTTATAGAATCTGACTCTTTTTTTCATTCATGAGTTTTTTCTCACGTTTTCTTTCTTCAAGTAAATCAAGATTTCTTATTTATAATGCCATTATTAAGTATCAAATTTCCAGCTTCTTATGTTTTTGTATCTTATGTTGTGTGCAATAGTATCAAATTACGTTTGCATTTTTCATATTTTTGGTATGTTATGTGTGGGATTTCATGGCTATCTACAAACCCAGGAAAAATCAACAACTCATTGCTAACTTTAGGAACTGAGGAAAAATACTAGTGGTATGGCTATCTTTATGACCTATGAGTACTGTTCTGTTCATAAATAATAGTAAAACGAAGCATTTTATAAGGTACGAGAAAGAAATTATATGAAAGTGAAATTCTGTAATGCTGACATTTATTTTTTTGTAACTTCTTATTCAGCTAAATGCTAGCTAAATATAAAGCATGCAAATCCACATAAACTCAAGCATGTGTATGGCATTCAAATATGAAGGCTGATTGCTGCTGCGTGTTTACTCCAAAAACATAATTATTCTACCAAATGTTGAAATTAGATATGCAAATTTATTAAAGTATTGTATGTTTTATATACAATATGCTTTTAAGAATTTGTACTAGGGCTGTGGAGTCGGAGTCATAAAGTCGGAATCGGAGTCGGGCAGATTTTGGGGTAAAAGAAGTCAGAGCTGGAGTCTTTAAAAACAGGTCGACTCCGACTCCAGTTTTTGTTGGACAGTTTGAATTTGAAATTAAATTAAAAGAAATTGAAAGAAATTAATGACAAGCCGAGTTATTATTTTTATTTATGGACTGTATACATTAATAAATAATTAATTTATATTTTATTGACTTATTAATAAATAAATATAAGGGAGGAGGATGGATGCGATATTTGCTATTAGTGATTAAACTGATTCATTTAGTTACTTCGTTTAGTTATAAATCTTGCTGGTAAATTTAGGTAAGCAGCAACAGGAGGAAAAACTCCCAAAATTGATACCATTCTTAGGAGGTGAGCAGGAAAAGGAGCAAATTATTGATCAAGCAATGCGATAAGAAAGTACATATTTGATGATAAAGAGGTTTTTAGAATTAAGGTTCACTAACAGAAAGGCTGTGGAATGATCTTGCAGAATTGGAAACTTTTCTTTCTACACCATATATAGCCATAAAAAAGCTGCAATCTGAAGAATTGACAGGAGGCGAGAATGGAAGAATCTGATGTTTGTTCTTTCTGAAATGGAGGGTTTATTGCAGAAGGAATTATTTCTTCAATGAAGAAAAGAGAAACTAGTTTGCTAGACAATGAGGTCTTGCTGGTTGTAATATATGTAGATCCAAAAAAATGAACTTTCTTGGATAATGAACAAATTAAAAAGGCAAAGAAAGCCGTCTGTGAACTTTCCTTAAAAATGAAATTATTCTCAGAACAATTGGAGAATTCGAATCAGGGCAGTCAAACTGCAGATATTGCAATTGAGTCTCTATCATCCTCTTCCATTGATGAATTAGATTTTGAGAAATATTTTTGGATAATATTGAAAAGGCTAAGGCAAAGCAAATTAAAATAAAGAACCAAGAGTCTTTAGATATAAAAATGAAAAAATACTGAAAAGATTTCTACACAGTCTTTGAAGAAATAGAAATATGATTGTGCTTGCACGACACCTCTTTTAGAACTTATAAAAATCTACCCTGAAAAGTAGCCCTAACAATAACAGCTCTTATTTCTACTCAAGTTAAAGTGGTAAGACTCTTTTCAGCTCTGAAGTTTATCAAATCGATCTATGGGCCACCAACAAAGAAAATCTTGCCGAAGCTATACTGTTTCTTAGAAATAACTAATGCCAGTTTTCCCATTTCATAATAAATGCTAATTAATATAAATAATTTGCTATGCCATCAATTTTTTTCTGTAGCATCTATTACTTCTTTATACAGTCAAAAGTCATTAATCCGGACTTGTCAGGACTTTGGCGATTCCGGATTATCAATTTTTCCGGATTATAGATCATCCGTTTAAATCTGGTAAGATGGCATGCAGAAATTATAAAATTAAAAATATGAAACCGTAATTTATGAAATAAAGAACAATTATGATCTAAAGGGTATCAAAATTTACAAAAAAAAAAAAAAAGCTTAATATTTATTTGTTTACTTTATTAAACATTTCTTTCAATGTAAGTTGTTTAAGTTGCTTCGTTTTATGTAATAATACTTTCTCTTTAATTCTATAAACAGACATAATTTCTTATTCACTTACAAAGTTCAGCTGTTCAAGTCCCGTAATTGCTGTGCCGAGAATACCGACTACCTTGCCAATCGAAATTTTTTCGTTTTCACTAACCTCTCTGTCACCTTCTTCATGTCTTTATCCATTTTTTGCAGCAATTCCACTTTTTGTTTGATGGACATCGAAACATACTTTCGTTTTGTAGATCCTTTGGGAGCTCTATCATCGGAAATTCTATTTGACATAATCGAAAGTTCAAGTTTACTTTTATAAAATTGCTCTTACAGTCTGCAAAAAATAATAAGCCGGATCCACTTCGAAGATTAAGGAACAACACAATCATCAACATTAACTGAAATAGATAATTAGAGCTTATACCGTCCATTATACATTAAACGTGCATGCGAAAACGTATTCTGCGCTTGCGCACACGCGTATGCGCCATCGTAAAGGTCTTACGTGCACGCATAAACACCTATGCGCATGTTTCAACGCGCCGCATGCACAGAAAGTTTTTAGCTTTGAGGTCCGGATTATAGATCATTCCAGATTATGGGTGTTCGAATTAACGACTTTTGACTGTATTAAAAAAATAAGCTGTAACCCATGTGTATATGTTTACATATATATATTTATGAGGGAGTCAGAGTCTTTAAAATTCCAGGAGTCAGAGTCGTTCATTTTCCCTATCGACTCCACAGCCCTGATTTGTACCCACGAAACATAATAGTTGTCATCATTTCTAAAAGTCTTAAATTTACTTTCATTCTTAAATTAGCATGGGTTTAGAAATTTTTATTTGATAGTACTTTGAATTTTAATAAATACCGATTTCTTGATTTTACAGACTTTACTTTTGAAAGTCATGCTTGAAGCTATAAGTTGAGCATAATCAGTCTTTTGAAAAGCTTTGTACTCAGATCCATCTTAGACATGTCTTTATTACTGATAATAACCATATCAATGTCTGTGCATTTTGAGATTAATTTATATGATGAATTATTTAGATCTTAACCCTATCAATCAAAATTTGTTTACACGCACTGCTTGGTTATCAGTCTAGGTCTGTTAAACTATGCACACAACTAAGTCATAGCTCACATTCTTGCAATTTCAAATAAAGAATTTGATTTTTTTCAGCAACCATGGGGTTAATTTCTGGATTTGGCTAATCCTCTTCATTCTAAATTTAATTTTGCGCCATGAGTTCAGGAATTAGAATTACAAATTCTGTTCTTTTCAAGTGTTAACAGTTTTATGACTGTGCTTTATGCACATACTAGAAAAATGTTTGTGTCTCAAGCTAATTAATAAATAAAATTTCTTTTATTCAGTGTATTAATAAATTCTGTATATTATTATTGATTATTCTAAAAATATAACTAAAATTATGCTTGTTAAACAGTTTACTACAGATATCTCTAAGGTATACTTTCAGTTTTATGAATAAAGAATAATTTGTTAGTATGTAAAGAAATTTTAAATTTTTATTCCTTATTTTAATTTTCTGTGTAACAGAAAATACATTTCAGTAATTTAACCTCTTTGTACTTTAACCATGCTTTATTTTCTGCAAGTATAAATCTTAAGATACTGCTTTAAAAAACTCTAAAATTCTATCTCCATTCTAAACATTTCAGATACTTTACAAGTGATTTAGAGCATAATATAATTGAGAATTCAAAATTAGTCTCAACCAGCTACCTATCTACTTTAAATCTTAATATCTTTAAGTCATAATCTTTAAGTCATAATTAGGAATGTAGAAAAGTTTTTAAAATTAATTGTTTTTTATTAGTGACTTTATCCTTTATAATTAGGGCTGATCTAAAAATCATTGCTTTCTGACATTGAAATTTCAGTTGCTCTTCAATTGTTGGCATTTTTAATAAAATGAAAGGGGACTAAAGGCATCTTGTTTTAATTTTAGAAATTAAATTCCGAATTGTGTAGTATGTTCATAACTTATTTAGCGAATGCTTTTGTATATAGAATTAAAGTGAAAGAAAATTAAATTCAAATCATTATGGATATATTTAAAGAACAGAAAATCATGCTGTGTGTAGCCTCTCATTCTGTTCCAGAGTATGAGGATGAAATAGCTCCCTATGCAACATTTCAACTTCCTGGACCCCCTGCTGAAGAAGAGAATGGAGAAACAGAAGAATTTAAAACTTTTAGTGTTCATCATGGAGAGCCCCCTTATTTAACTAAGGTAGAATATTAAAAATATTTTATATCGTAATAAGCAATTAAATAGTAATTAGTAAAAATATTTTGAATTAAGTATTTTATTTATTTAATGGAGAGATTAATTTATTAAATTCTGTGTTTTTTAATTTCTGTAGAACAAGTAATGAAAAATCAAAAATATAGTTAAATTCTGAGGCAATTTTGAAACCTACAGAGCTGTAGTAGCTATAGTAGAGCTATAGTTGCTTATGTAGTTCTTTCCATGTAACACTGTTATTCAGAAGTAAAATATTTTTAATAGATTATCTTAATAGATTATTATTAAGCACAGATTTGAGACTGTCAGATTTTCTTATTTTCAAATTGTTTTTAAGTCATAATTAGGAAGATAAAATTTTAATAAATAAAATTTTCATGTTCATGAACAGGAAACCAATTTTTGTAAAATTATGCCTTTTTGCAAAGTGGATTTTATTCAACAAGCAACAAGAGTTCCCTGGCATAAAAACACTTGGGTACACAGCATTGTTATGAAATCCAGCTTATATCACAAAAAATGCTATCTTAAACAACAAGCTGTGATACCCATGTGAAGGTCTTTATCTTGGTGAATAGTCATCAACTTTCATAAAATTTTTGGCATCATTATGAAATTGTCAGAGTGTTGGGGCATGAAACTTCTCTGCTTTTTATGCCTTGGAGTAAAGAATTAAATACAACAGTTATGAATTTCTGATGAATTAACAGTGATGGGGTTAAGATGATGAGCATTTAGCTTTAGTTTACACTTCTTCCTTTTTTTGTTGGGGGGATACCTTTAAATATTATTCTTCTAATAAGTTTATTTCTTTTTTCTGCATGAATCCTGCAATTATGATTATTATTTTATCTGTTTTTAAAGGATCCATAACAGGTGAGCAGGTGATGCTATGCGCATTGGCTCCTGCTGAAAATACCCGATTTCCCAATAGCCCTGTTGTTCGCTGTTCACAAATACATGAAATTTAATTTCAGACTTTATATTCTTTCAGAATTGTTTTAAGAAAGTATATGTTTCACAAGAATTTTTAGGTACATTTATAAGCATATTTAGAGCAATTTATTCTGAGGGTCTCCTTTTATGTAGAGCCTGTCCATCTTGTAGGTATAATGAAAGAAACAGATACTGCAGGTTATGTGTCACAATTTATGTATGCATGGCAGTATCATTTGCTGCCATTTGTGTGAAGCACAAAGCAGTGTTGCACACTTGTATATCTGTACAGTAAACAAACATGGACTTCACAACAATGTTTATTATTATTTGTCAAACTGGAGTCCATAATTCCAATGCAATGTGCATTTTGTAAGCACAACCTGTCCATCTTGTAGGTATAATGAAAGAAACAGATACTGCAGGTTATGTGTCACAATTTATGTATGCATGGCAGTATCATTTGCTGCCATTTGTGTGAAGCACAAAGCAGTGTTGCACACTTGTATATCTGTACAGTAAACAAACATGGACTTCACAACAATGTTTATTATTATTTGTCAAACTGGAGTCCATAATTCCAATGCAATGTGCATTTTGTAAGCACAACCTGGGACATCATGACAAGGTACCAATGTGCATGAACACTGTAAAATTGGACAACAATTTTTAGGACAAATTGGAGGTAATGTGTCCATGTGTGAAAAGCATTCAAAGAGGAAATTCCAAGGACAAGATGAGAGAATTTGCACAACTTTCTAAAAAAGTTCAAGGAAATTCGTTAGGAAAACAAGTAACAAACTCATGATTCCATGTGTCACTGTACATGATGTCATGCACAAACATTTGCAAACATCTACATCTGCAAGATTCATATACTTCAGCATAATCAACTAACATTAACTAACAAACTAACTAACATCAACATCAACTAACAAATAGAAGCGATAATCATATTTCTAAAGCCATGTTACTGAAAATGGAAAACTGCTGCAAACTGCAAAGAATTTCTGCTGAATGTTTCTGAGATGAAGCTACATTTCATATTAAGGAAAAGTAGAGGAACCACAGTTGTTGGATCTTCATAGTGAACAACCACATGTGGTTCATATAACTAAACATGACTCAGCAAAAGTGAATGTGTTGTATGGCATTATGAAAGGCAGGATCATAGACCATTTCTTCTTTACTGAACAGACAGTGTCCTCAGCTAATTATATCAACCTGCAGGAACTGTTTTTGATGTCTTGGCTCCCTCCATTTTTCAGCAGGATGGGGGCCTTGTCACATTTTGAAAACCAAGTATGTGACATTTGAACATACAGTTTTGTGAACAAGCGGATTCAACAGGGTTCAGTATATTTTGCCTGGCCTTCATGTCACCTGGTCTTTCCACACTAAATTTCCTTTGAGGTGTCTCAAGTATTGCATGTCTTTGCTAAATCTGGATGATCTGAATACCAGAATTCATAAGGGAATAAATTGTATCAAAGAACCTTGTGTATTGCATGCATTTGCTAAACATACGTAGGTAAGTTGAAAAATAAGTTTTCCCTGTCAACTGTGGTCAGAGTTGTGTATGAAAGTCAAAAAATAGAATGAGACATTAAAGATATGACATACCTTTATTTTTCCACATAGGTACCAAGTACATTGAGACATTTGTCATATCGTTTGATAAGCTTCAAAAAGCCCTCCAGGAAAAAATCAGGGCTTTGCATATGGAAGAAGCGTTGAACAGCTTGTTTCACTTCCGCTATGAATCCACGTTAATCCGCTATGAATGGGCACGTGGAGTATTAGGAACAGAAATTCATAACCGCCTCGTGGAAGTCTATGGGCCAGGTGTGATGTCGAAGCAACTGGTGCGGAGATGGTGTCGCACATTCAGTGATGGACGTCAGCAAGTGGAGGACATACCGAGAGCTGGACGGAAGCGCACGGCCACTACAGATGCAAATGTCAAGAAGGTCGATGACATGATTAGAGCGAACCGGCGTATCACCATCAATGAAGTAGCGGAAGAACTTGGAATCTCACATGAGCGAGCTCAAAACATCATCCACGACATTCTTCGATACAGAAAAGTGTCAGCACGATGGTGTGTTGTATTTTATATGTGTTGGGTACGTGCTCAGTGATGATTACAAGATGTACACAAACATCGTTTATTCTACATTGCTCATCTACTATTCTACAGTTATGGTTAAAGATAATAACAGATACAGTTACAGTTACATATATAACATCTCCCTTTTTTATAAAAGATAATAGTAGTAGTAAAATTAAACATATTCTTTTAAATAATAAGGTTTCTTAACAGTCCTACCAGATCGAGTGATGTAGTTATGTCCATTTGAAAAATTTGATGATACTATACCTCTTTTGCTATTTGGTGACACAACACTTCTGTTAGATTTTGAAGGACTTACAGGCACATCTAAATTTGTAGTGCTCCTACTATTTTCATGTATCTCGGGTTCATCTATAACTTCATTCTCATAGTTTTTTGTATTGCAAATCTTCCTGATTAGTTCCTTTAAGAAGGTCTCTTCTGTTCCTTTCTACAATTCTTCCATCTGTTCTTATAATCCTATATGAACGTGGTCTTTCTGCTTCTTCTATAATTTTCCCTCTTTCATTTAGTTTTTTCCCTTTCTCTTTTATGTAAACATGATCTCCTGTTTTCAGTCGTTTTAATGGTCTTGCATTCCTATCATAATAACTTTTTTGTAAGGTTTGTCTCTTCAGTAAATGTTGTTTATGGTCTTCATATCATTTAGCTTGGACAAAATTCTCTTTTATAGGCATCAATCCATTTACTTTTCTTCCAAACATCAATTCTGAAGGTGACTTAATTTCATCTGAAATAGGAGAGTTACGATATTCCAGTAAAACTAAATATGGATCCTTGTTGTCAACTACAGCTTTTTCTAACATCGCTTGACAGTTCGAATATGTCTTTCAACCATTCCATTAGACTGTGGGTATTTTGGACTTGAAGTTCTGGTTTCAAAATTCCATCTTCTTGAAAAATCTTTATATTTCCTGAAATTATATTGTGGACCATTATCCGAATATACTATTTTCGGAATACCATGTCTTGCAAAAAGTGATTTCAATTGCTTTATCACTGCTACACTTGACAAATCTTCCAAATGTCCAATTTCAACATATTTGCTAAAATAATCTATAACTATTAGATAATCCCTTCCTTGAAAGTAAAAGAGGTCTGTTCCCAATACTTCCCATGGACCATTAGGTATTTCTTTAGATATCATTGGTTCTTTAGTATTAGCTTTTTGTAAACTTAAATATGTTTGACAATTCAGTACCAAATCTTCAATTTCTTTGGACATTCCTGGCCAATATAATATTTCTCTTGCTTTGATCTTGCATTTTACTACTCCTAAATGACCATAATGAATTCTGCTTAAACATATCTTTTCGTAAAATTTCTTGGTACAAAACACAGGAATTTTTAAATATTAATCCATTTGCTTCTGATAGTTCTTCTCTCTGAAGTTAAAATATGGTTTTTGCCAGTTCTTTTCTGGAACCATACATTTTTCATCTGGCCATCCAGTTTTAATTAATTTTTTTAAAACTTGCAGTTCTTCATCTTTTTCTGTTTCTAGTTGAAAAACTTCCATTTTACCATTAGACATTGGTATACATTCTACAACTAATCCAACATGAGCTTCTATTTCTCCTTCAAAGAAATCAGATCCTTTATCAGTGAATGATCTTGATAATGCATCCGCTATAAAAAGTTCTTTTCCTGGTTTATATTTTATCTCAAACTGATATGGCTGTAATCTTATACGCATTCTTTGTAGTCTTACAGGGCATTTATTTAATGGCTTTTTAAAAATTGATTCCAGTGGTTTATGATCACTTTCCACAGTAATATTTTTTCCAAATATATACTGGTGAAATTTCTCACACGCAAATACAATAGCTAAAGTTTCCTTTTCAATTCGAGCATAATTCTTCTGTGTATCTGTTAATGCCTTAGATGCATATGCCACTGGTAAATTATTCTGCAG